AGCCTTAGTGTAGGTTTACATATGCATCAGTCATGCGTCGTCCGTTGTTGTTTTTTAGCAATTTTATTGGTGTATTTTATTTTTATTATGTAAAAAATGACGGAACGATGGACACCTGCATGTCAACCCACACTTAAATCTATAAATTTAGTTTAAGATTGACTATGACATTATGGTTACAGTTGAGGGTTGGAACTTGGAACCATGTTGGAACCTTTGGCACAAATTACCTATAACAGATGCGAAAGAAAGCGACTGCATCGGAAACCGCTCGGCAAACCCCACACGCCTATTGAGTGGTGTAAATACACCAGTCGTTTAGTCCGGAAACCTATGCTGTGTCGTATTCGCTTGCTGGAATGCCATAGTGCGTGGTTATATGTTTCTTTTTAAAAACGGGTGTAGGATTTTTGTTGAACTTTTGAACTGTTATTTCTAAGTTTTGGTAATTTGTATATCTTATTTAAAATGGGATACAAATGTGTTTATTTATAAGGAAAAAAAAGATATTTATAGTATAAAAAATTAATTTATTTAACAAAATTTAATTAACTTTTTTCGACTATATAAATCTTTATTTGTAAACTTTAATACATCAAATATTTTCAATCTAATAAATCATTTAATGATGTAAAGAAGAGGAAATTTCTCACATGGGTGGTCAAATTCTATAGTTTTCATTATATCAAACAGCCTCTGAGAAATGTTTTCAACTCAAAATGCCTTTAATTATGTTTGACTACATCAATTAAAAGGGTCTTCAAATACATCAATGTGATATTTGTCTAAAATTTGCAAAAGAATCCGAATCTCTGGATAAATCGAAATTATTTACCCATTTAAAAGCCTTTGATCATGAAAGTGGAAAAATTTGTTCATTTTATTTACTGGAAATGGAAAAATTATTTATATTAAATTTTGATGAGTTTTGCACTGAAGAAAACATCTAGAGGCTGTTTGATATAATGAAAACTATAGAATTTAACCACCCATGTGAGAAATTTCCTCTTATTTACGTCATTAAATTATTTATTAGATTGAAAATATTTTATGCATTAAAGTTTACAAAAAATAAAGATTTATATAGTCGAAAAAAGTCCGATAGAACCAATAGAAAAGTAACTATTTTGTCACATCTTTAATTAAATTTTGTTAAATAAATTAATTTTTTATACTATAAATATCTTTTTTTTTCCTAATCTCCTACAAACTGATATAATATGACGAGCAATCTATTAAATTACTGTGAGATTATATACCTCGATAACATATTGGTGCAGATTATTTTCACCCAAACAAATAATAACCCAAACTATACATTGATGCGGATTCTCTATTAACTCTTTCTGAAGGTTACAGAAACCTGAACGCGTTTATTCGGCGTTCTTTCGCATCTGTTGGTTAATTTGTGCCTTTGGTTTGCTTTGGTGTTGAGTGAGTGAGTGAGAGGGGGGGGGGGTTAATCACTGCTACCTTAGAGATCTATTTGGTGTTAAAATAGCTATAATAATATAAATAAAACACTAATTCACCACAATACACCAAAACACTTTTGTAAAAACTAGTTTTAATCATCTGCTGATGATGCCAACATGATTAGCGAAACGCGCATCCAGTGTTAAAAGTGTTTTGGTGTGTATTTTGCAATGATATTATGGTATTTTTGGTATTGAAATTTTTCATCATATCCACTGAGAAAATGAGCTATCTAAAAAACTACAACTTCATTTTTAAATTTTTTTAAATTGTGCGAAAGTTTGGAATGAAAAATTTAAATAGGATAGAAGAATATACAGGGTGAGTCTTAAATAAGTGCCAATATTTTCAGGACTGGTAGATCTCGATAAAAGAAACCTAATTTCTTTTTACCTTATGATTTTTTGCTTAAATTTTGAGAACCACTGGATCTTTTCTGGTTTTTTTTTCTTGTAAATTTAATCTACTACCTATGTTGCCATATTATGAAGATATTATGTTTTTTACCTAAAAATAAAAAAAAATCCAAGATTGTCAATTATTCCAAATCTTCGAAAAAAATTTTTAGCAAAAAAACCTTCTGGGGTTGGAATATACCACCCCTAAAAATATTTGCACTTATTTAAGACTTACCCTGTATAACAGAATAGGATAGCAGCTTTTTCAGAATATTTGGTGACACATTATATAAATGAAATATATGAAAATATATTTGTAGAATATACAATGTTAAATCTACATATTGTTACTACAAGCAAAGAATATTATAGTTTTCTACAAGTAATACTGTATCTATAAGGTTTGGTAGTCGTAGTTTAGATAGTTACGGTGTCTACTTGTGTTAATAGTCGAGAGCATAAGTCGAGAGTGTCGAGAATAAGAGTTGACAGTTAAGTTTGTAAAGAAAACCTTTTTTTTTCTTTTATAAGTTCTGTATTTAAAGTATTGTTTTTTAACAATAAACTTTTACCTTTTATTGTTACTTTGATTCACGTCCAACAACAATATTAATGAAATATATGTCATATTTCAAAGTTAGATACGTCATTTTCGATAAAAAAAAAAATGTAAATTATCTATTTTTTTGATAAGAAAAGTAGGTTTTTCATACAAGAGAATGAAATGCATTAAGGAGATCGCGAATAATATACATGTTTATTCTAATATGTCTTTTGCGGTAAGTGTACATAATAATATCTTCTTTGTTATAAACATATGCACCTCAAACTCTTGATAAAACAGCGATATAATTCAAGATATAATGAAATGGAATATCTTATGGATGGGGAAAATGCAATATTTGGTGATTTTTAAAAAAATCTAGCTTTTCTAATATATAGTTACCGAAATTAGTTGCAGTATGGCAACAGTACCTAATTTTCAATTAAGCAGTGTCGACTCGTTTTTAAAACTAATAAGTTTTATTCGTAAAATTCTATTCCAATGGGCTTGCATTATGGATACAGGGCCGTCCTTAGACTGTTGGCCGCCTGGAGCAAGGCCGAAAAAATGCGCCCCCCCCCCCTACAGACAATCGTTTTTTTATTAGTGCGAAGTTTAATCCGAAGAATCAGGTGTGAAAAAAAATTATGAAAGTTGTGCCACAGCCTGTAAGAAATATTATCAAATCCTTTCCAAAAAAAGGGAAATAAATATCGCAATATTTTCAGAATTAGCATTTAAATTTTGTATTTAAAAGGAGCGTCACATGGTACCTAACAAGAATAAAAAAACAGTATAAGGTGTACATTAGCCAAACTAACACCTAAAACTAGGTAATATAAATTTTTATAAATAATTATTAACAAAACAAAATTCGTAATAAATACATAGACATAATCCTGAGAAACAAAATTTCTAACATGGACAAAACTAAAACTTTTTTCTTGCTTTTTTTTTCGGCAAACTCTGATATAAAATCGTCGATGTTTAAACTGTTCGCTATTTCGTGCTCAATAGATAGTAAAGATAATCCGCTTAATCGTTCTTGTGTCATACTTGATCTTCAGATAATTCTCAATTATTTTGAGTTTAGAAAAACTTCCCTCTCCGGTTGCCACTGAAACCGGCGGCGTTAATAAGATTCTTATGGAGATGTAAATATTTGGAAAGTTTTCAATCAGATCGTGAATTTTTAAATATTTTAGTGTTTGTTTTGGAGAACTGAAGTTTTCGGCATTATCTGGTGGTATTAGAGCAATTAGAGCTAAAATTTCGTCCCGAAGCTCTAGGCCATAATATCATGTTTGTCTCCGTCCCTTAAATAGAGATGAAGATCCATACAATGCTTTGTTAATTCCTCTCGGTTGATATTCCTGAGAACTGTGAAGTCGTATAAGAACGAAAAATAGTCCGAGTGAGCTTTTAACAGGTCAAACCTTTCCTGGAGAGCCTCATGGATCGTATCCAGGACAACAAAGAAAAATTCGATTTTAAACTTTTCCTGTGGATCTAAAATTGGCTCATCCACCGATTCATACAAAAACTATCTAGTTTTTTTTCTGGGACGAGCTCTGATGTGATTAGTAAAAACTGCTTCAATTTCCAGTTCTTCTGCCAGCTCTGCGGCATCCACTAATATTACTCTAAAATGGTCGTCAGTCCTTATTTTGACAAAATAGTCGTCGATAGCTTTTAGAGCTTTTGTGGACTCAATGATGCCAAGTTTCTCATTCTGAAGCAGTTTACTATAGTTGCATTTATACTGTTGGAAATTTCGTACCGAAAATGACCATTTTTCCAAAATGTAGTACTGACGTACCGAATTTGGTCAAAATGTACCGAATTCAGTACAATTGTACCGAAACGGCCGCCCTCAGATTTGGCCGCCTGGAGCAACTGCTCCTCTGCTCCACCCCTCAGGCTCAGGACGGCCCTGATGGATACACCTGAGAACTTACGACCGAGAAAAATAAAAGATTTTCCTTGATTTAAGTAAGAACAATCTTCGGATTGTCGCGAGGTTTTTAATTAATTAATAGAGGGACACTCCTCAGTGTCTCCACAAAGAACACCTCAATAAATTGAAGCTAAGAAACAACAGCTAATGCAGATTATGTGGGGAAAATGGGGGGCAAACGCCAGAGCACCTATCAACACTGAGTGCGCCGAGACGACAACCATTCGCCATAAACTTTGGCTGATGTCAGAGATGGAGAGCTGGCCTCTGTGAAGTGTAATGGTGCGTATCCACCAACGAACTTGTCGCGAACAGTTCGTGAACAGTTACATACGCTGTTCGCGATCAGTTTGCCAACAGTTCGTGGAGAGTTCGCAGTCCTGTTAGCGAACTGTTTATAGGATATCATAAATTGTTTGCTTTAGTCCGCTTTTGGTGTTCGCCGAGTGTTCCACGTTTTCTGTCTTGAATGTCATGGCTTCGTTTGATACCGAAAACCTATTGTTAGCTTGCGCTGCGTTTATTGTTATATCCGAAGAAAATAATAAGAAAAGACCGCGACGTCCACGATACTGGCAGAGAAGTTTATTGCAAGCAAGGAAAAATTACAGTGGCAGTCAAATTTTTGTCGTATGTCAGTTACTGATTTTGAGTATTTACTTAATTCAGTTGGACCAAAAATTGCAAAGCGTAATACTAACTACAGAGATGCGATTCCCCCACATGAACGGCTGGCAGTCACACTACGATTTTTGGCTGCAGGGGACTCATACACTAGTCTGATGTATCTATTTAAAATATCAAAACAAGTAATATCTAGAATTGTTCCAGAGGTATGCGAAGCTTTAGTGATGACGCTGCATGAATATGTTCAGATAAGAAAATATTTATTTTTATTGAACTGAAAAAAAAATACAAAATAATGTTCAGTTATTGCCATTTTGTTGGAAATCCTCAGATTATCCAGGACTAACCAGGAGTGGAATTTGGTCTATTTCCATTCAAATTGTAATAGCTTAAACTTTCTGGCAGTAATGAATTTTCTCCAGAGTGTGGGGGCATGAATGGTGTATTGTAATTAGGCAGCATATTCATTTCTGTTTCAAAAACTAACCCATTAATTTGATGCTGCAAGAGCAATCGAGTGCGAACATCCATCTTTCTTAATTTAAAAGCAAGTTGTTCTCCATAAATAGAACATTCATCCCTTTCCAATACTCTACCACGTAAAGATTCCATAATATTGTACGCTTCGTCGACTCGGGTGTCTGAAGTTCTTTTGGATGGCTTTTGCTGGGCCTTACGTGTGTCGCTTTCGTCGGAAGAACTGATTTTCTTTGTCGAAGGTTTGGTTTGGTTTACGTTGTTTGTTGGCTCAGTCTCTACAGGTATTTCTGCAGAAGTTTCTGCTTGTGCATCACAGCTAGTCTCAGTTTCGTCGGTTTCTTGGCTGTTTTCCTGAAATAACAAAATTCCTATAGATAAAAGAGAATAATGGAAGTTCACTGACAGTTGCATTTTGTTTCAGTTGCCCAGAACATCTGACTCATGGAAAGAAATTGCTGCAGAATTTAGTAGCAGGTGGAATTTTCCGCAGTGTTTAGGAGCAATTGACGGAAAACATGTGGTACTTCAAGCTCCAATTAATACCGGTACAGAATATTTCAATTACAAAGGGACCCACAGTATTGTACTATTAGCAATAGTGGATGCTCAATATTCGTTCACATACGTAAATGTTGGCTGCCAAGATCGAATTTCTGACGGAGGAGTGTTTAAAAATTCATTTTTTTTAACTGACCGAAGAAACATTAAACATTCCGGAGGATAGTCCTCTGCCAGGCCGAAATAAACATGTACCTTTCGTTTTTGTAACGGACGATGCCTTTCCGCTACAGAATCATTTAATGAAACCCTATCCTGGGTCTCACGAGGCGGGATCGTCAAAGAGAGTCTTTAACTACCGTTAGAGGAGTTTTAAGGAAACCTATGTTGCTAGAACCTGAAAAGGCTAAGAAAGGTGTTCTGGCGTGTGTGTACTTGCACAATTTTTTTAAAAAAAGTAAAGCATCAAGACATATACACCGGTTGGGATGTTTGACACTGAGGATATTGACCATAATATAGTCGAAGGTACATGGAGGTCAGACAACCAAGACTTACAGTCGTTTTTGCCTTTACAACGAATTCCAAGAAAGTCGTCAGTTGCTTTCCAGGAAATTAGAGATGAATATGCCAGTTACTTTTGCAACGAAGGTGCTGTTTCATGGCAAAACAGAGTAGCATAAAACATCAGCAACAATCTATTTTATAAGTAAGTTAAACCGGCAGTTCTTGAGATACACCGTACTAAGCTCTATTGGAGTACTTGGTTATAATAAGTTTAAGTAGCTATTTTACCCTAAAAACTAAAATTTGGTACTTTTTGAGCATTAACAACCAAGCAAACCGTTTTTAGAAATTTTCAAAGACAATATATGCACTTTTTGAATCTTTGCAGTTTTTTACTTTTTCTCCCTTTGCAATTTTTAATTTTTTACTTTTCCAACATTTGGCAAAGCTCTTTTTTAAAAATTAAAAAAAGTTTGACCAAAATTGGTCAATTGGTCAAAAGTTTTATTTCGACACTTTTTCTTTCATTTTTTCTGCTTTTTGCCTTCCACGCCGGAACTGAGCTAGAAGAGTTTTCATTTTTCTTTCAACTTCTTCTCGGGAGGCATTCATTTCTGCGGCTAACTCTGCCCACGCATCAAACTTTTTTGTCTTATTTCTATACTCAGTTAATTTCACATTCCACAAAACTTCTTTTTCTCGATATTTTTCTATTAAGCATAAAACTTTTTCATCTGTCCACTCCATAATCAAAATGCAAGTAGAGTGACGACGCGATACTGTTGAAACAAAACGACTGACTGATCGGCAATAGCGTCCCCACCTAAATAAACTTTGCGAACAGTTCTTTAGAAGTTACCGACAACCGGCGGGAAATTTGGCGAGCTGCTGGCGAACTGGGTCAACGGTCCTGTTGTTACGCGATCAGTTCGCGATCTTAACGTGAACATTTTGCGAACAGGAGAAGAACTGTTCGTGAACAGTTCGCGAACGACGGTGGATACGCACCATAAGAAAACGCAGACGATGCAGCGCTCCGCACTTGTGTCTAGCCGTAGCAGGCAACTATTAAGCCCGACCAATCACGTTAGAGTTTTTGACAAACACAAATGAATTAACACACTCCACATAACCACGCTAACCAACCTGATTGGTCAAGCTCAATAGTTGACTGCTAGGGCTAGACACTTCTGCGCTCCGCTTACGTCAATGCCAACGTGCATGGGACCTTGTCGTAGACCCATTAAGATTATTTTGTTTATGTTAGGATTTCGGAGAGAGACTGGCTGATGAATAGGGAGGGCCAGTCTATAGACCGACATTGATTGTACCATACGAATATTTCTGTATTCTGTTACGTTCAATTATTATATTAAAATACTGTTATTTAAAAGGTATTTCAATAATAAATAACCCATAAGTCTTAAAGAAGCAGTCTCAAATACCGGCTTTTGTCAAAGCCCTGAAGCTGTATGATGACTTATAACTTATAACTCGATATATCTTATTAAAGGGTGACACACAATATATTCCCAAACATTTTACATGCTACATTGGTACATCTAAACCTTTAAATAAGAAGACTAAGGAAGGAGCATAATGCTATCCATGTATTCATGCATGGTGGGCGGAAAAAGCACCATAAAAGCACTCTAGGGTGGGGATCCTTGACAGTTCTGTTTGACGATTCATTTGACACATTTGAATTTGATTTGAAATTTTGTGGATTTGTCAGTCTTTACGGAGCTTATTTTATGTTATTTATTATTTATTCTACTACTGATAGTTGTATAAAGGTAGTAAATCTAGATGGAAATTGTGGCAGAACTTAAATTAACAGTGACACTATCGCGATTTATCGAAAAAGCCTTTTAAAATAGTTGGTTGTATAGCGTGCGGTAGATCTCGGCAAAAATTGAGTGAAATAATGGAACAACTTTTCGCTAGTAAGTGACTATATAATATATATACGTGTAGTAAACCGATCATTTATGAAATTCACTTAAATTAACTAAATTATATATTTTTCTTTCATTTTAGCTTTTATTTATTACTTGTCAAAGATTAGATGTCAAAGAATTTAGATACGTTAATTTGACTTACCTGCTTCAGTAGCGTACCGGATGTTTGTGTTAATAAATACTTATTATAACTTATCTATTTTTATTAGAATTATATATTTTTATAAAAATTTTAATAACTACCAACATTTATTCACAACGTAAATAAAACAACAAATTATTGAGTCTACCCCACGTCTACCCTACATCATAGTTTTACATTTTTTAAATAAAATTAGAACGACACTGATAAACCGGAATTTAAGTCGGCCATATTTGAGGCCCATCGCGGTGTACCTAAGATTTTTGATATGCTCCTTCCTTAGTCTTCTTATTCAAAGATCTAAACGCAAAAAGGCGTGTAATCAGTTAAAACGAAAGCTGTTTTTACCGGAATAAATATTTGTGCACCTATTAAAGCCGTGTTTCTCCGTCTCTCATATATCATTTTAAACTTTAAACTACAACAGCGTCGTCACGTAAGCAACAGTTCACAAGAAGCGCCTGGCTCTTCGTGTGGGATAGCCTTTATTTCATTTAACGCCGCCTACTTTGTTTTGTGGTCAAACGAGAATTCTAAAGTGGGTTAGCTTCGCTCTGCCAAACAAATTTAGTTTTAGTATTGGCTGCGCGCTTGGTTTGCTGTCTGAACGACGCTTTGTTCAAATTCGTTGCGTACATTTGCGCGGGCATGTTTATATCTATTTAGTGTTTTTCTTTATATTTTGCTTTACGACATACGGAAACATGGGTTGTGCAAGTGGGCTCGTCAAGTATTTAGTGTTTCTGGCTAATTTACTTTTTGCGGTAAGTGTAATATGGGTGGTAGAACTTCAAGATTTTGTTGTTCGACTTCATCTGTTCATTAGCGTATGCGTGAGCATGTCACGATTATTTTTAGAAGATACACAAGCTTTGTTTTGACGTACATTTGAAACCATTTTGAAACAGAGTAGAGTTTTTTAAATTTGGGTCAGTCCTTTTAAGTAATAGGGACCTTGGGAATTTCTTACAATACTAAAACTTTTTGTCCGTGTTATTATTCAGGATGAATGGAATAAAAATAATTAAACAATCGCATGGCGTGACTACGGCCACTAAAAATATACCTGACGATATGTTTTAATTTAAATGTCAATTCAGGTTCAATCTATAAAGGTATTATCGGTATTATCACAGTTTAAAGAATATAAAATATATTTTATATTCTTTAAACTGTGGTATTATAGAGCTATTGGAAAATCCGACATAGAGTCTATACTCTGTTTATTTGCAGTAAAAAAAAAGCAGTAAACAATATATGCGGTACTAACAATTTATAAAGTTGTATTTTGTTATACAGGGTCAGTCTTAAATAAGTGTAAATACATTGCATAAGGAGTGAAATCGAGGGTGAAATATTTCGACCCCCGGAACACGTCTATGAATTTTTTCGAGAAAAAATGTTGAAGATTTTGCATCTTTCGACAAATTATAACAAATTTATTAATATCTTGATAATATGACGACATAAGTAGCAGACTAAATTTAGAGGAAAGAAAATCCAGAAAAAAATCCAGAGGTTCTGAGAATTTAAGCAAAACTTTTTGCCAACTCACCCATATAACACACAATATCCGCAGGATATCCATAGAATGTCGGAATGTCCCATTACAGGATCATCCTATAAAGATATCTATAGGATATCCTCTAGACATCCTGAAATCCTGTAGATGTCTCAGAATAGAATCTCTGTCGTATATCTAATGTACATTCAGCTGAGATATCCAAACATGCTCATGATAATAAAATATTCTAACAATATGGTCTAGATATTTAGGAAAAATAAATAATTTACTACATTTTATATTACATAAAATGCAATAAACCATACAGATAGATATATATTACGTCAAGGCAACTTGGTATCTTCTGGATAATCTGGATATTTATGAGCTTGGCCACTCCCAGTAATATGTGGTAATACAGAGAATTTAAAACGCCCGCTCAAAAAATTTCCCACAATCCATCTCGACAGTTTGTTTTTGCATCGTGTATTATTCAGTTCTTTGATTTAGTGAAATTCGAGGTGAATTCGGTCGTTTGTCGATGTTGAATGGGCTTAAGAATGACTGAAACTAACAAAACTGGTTCAGTTTGACTTAGTTTTTTCTCATACTCATAGTTCTAGCCCTTTTCTAGCAGAAATTCTATCCTAACCTCAACTAATGTCGAAAAACGACGAACGACTCAGGGTCTCACAATGAAAAATTTGTGACAAAATTATAGGTGAAAATTTGTTGAAAAGCGCTTGTTCTTTATCCCTGAACCCATTTTCGTGTTTGATCTATTCGAAATTCGAACAGAAATCCTACTTTTGTGTTTAAATTGTGAGTTTCTGGAAGGTGTGGTGTTAGAAATTATACCTCTATCCCCTGTGTGCTAACTTTGATGTAAACTGTTGCTGCTGGACTCCATAAAGAGTAGTACCGTATGATCGAATAAAAACGGCGTCCAGTTGGCTTGGAAATGACGATCGATGGCATTTCCTATATAAATTTACATATAAAATGACAGCGATCTTCATTTCATAGCCATCGCTGACGCCGTTTTTATTCGATCATACGGTATAATCCATAAGTATAATCTGGTATAATATCATCCGATAGAAAAAAAACGGCGTCAGAGGTGGCTTGGAAATGAAGATTGCTGTTATTTTGTATGTAAAATTATGGGGAATGTCATCGATCGTAATTTTCAAGCCAACTGAACGCCGTTTTTTTTTCTATGGTACAGTATAAATTGAAAGCTCTTGACTCATACAAATAAACTTCTAAATTTTGACGCAAAATTCATTGACAGGTACATTTTAGAGCTGTTAATAAAAATATCCAATGAATAACATCAAAATGTGGCTAAATAAAACTAAATTGCGAACCTTTATACTATAAACTAAGGATGAAGTAAGTATTGTCAAATATCAGTCCTCATATAATGTCCTAAAAATATTCTATAATGCTCCCAACATCATCTTTGTATTATCCTATAAATATCCTAAATAATCGTAAAAGGTTTGCCTAGGGATGTCTTGAAGATGACTTTTTTTGTCCCATCTGGATATCCCATAAATATCCTCCTCTGGTTTTTGGATATCCCTAAGATATTTACTATATCCTTGGTGGATATCCTCAAGATATCTATAGGATTGTGTTGTGTTATATGGGCACGGTACCTTGCCTTAATCTGGCGCGTTCGAGTTTTTCCAAAGTTTAAATATCTTTGAGTTTTTCTAACGATCAATTTTTTACTATACTCTGATCGGCTGCCCTACACGCACGTGTCCCTGTATAAAAGATTCCTATATTGTGGGAGTAGAGTAAAAAAGGCCCTACACACAACGATTTCTGAGATATTTGAACTCTACAATATTCGACTGTACCTTCGATTCACTCCAAAACTCAACGTCTAGTGGCCGCTTCGATAAAGATCTGATCGAAGAGATGAGTTCTGCGATCTTTCAACATGCTGAATATTTTTAACTTCACAGACCACAGATTTGGCGGGAACTGCACAGGGTCGGTAAATTGGAAACACCCTTTTCTATAGGAGTTAGACGAAAACTAATATCGGTGTCTGGAGCACAATTTTTATTAAAAACAGGATGATGAAAACATGATGAAAACCACAGATTCAAATTTTCATTCTGTTTTTCAAAAATGTACATTTTTAACAAATCGCTGTAACTTTTTTGCTATGGTAAAATACAAAATTTTGTATTTTTATTAAAAAATTTGCAAAGAACATTTTTACGTAGAATTTATTGGTTTAAGTAGGTATAATTTTTTAAAATTAAAAATTTAAGAGTTATCAACAGAAAAATTGATTTTTGTTTTGAGACTGTGCGATTTGGGATACAATGGCCAAATTTTTTACTACTCTGATCGACAGCGCTACACGCACATTCCTGTATGGAAGGTTCATGTATGGTGGGGGTACTTAACAGGGTGCAAGGTTTTTCTCTCTTTTCTCTATATCCTAAGCATATTAACTTTTGAGATACAGGGTGGTCAAATTTTTTTAAAATATATTTTTTATATCTCTATGGATATCTTTATCAAATTTTATACATGAGGCGTCAAGTTGTAAAACCCGCCTTATCAATTAAAAAAAAATTCTAATGACCTTTAGTGGAACCCTGAAATCTACAAAAACATAGTCCCAAACTGCAGTAAAAGTGGCATATTCATATATAAAATTCACTACAAATTACGTTACTGTAGCAAAATCCGTTTTATCCACTTATATTTGCTTTTTATTGTCATTATTGTTGCAAATCCCTCATTTTTTCATAAGCTCTTTACACAAGTATAACTGACATTTTTTTATCGATTTCAAATCTTCTACCTATTTTTAGGGAATTATTGATTTTAAGGAATTATTGACCTTATTTTAAGAAATTATTGATTTATTATTTATGATATTTCCATATTTAATAAATTAAGTTTGGATGCAAATATCTTGCTGTAGCAAAACCCGCAAGATGCATCACACTGCAACAAAACCTGCCTTATCCGATCTTTTTTTGTGTTTCTTCTCTTTAAAAATTAAATATTAATTTTTATTTCTAGAAAAACCACATACAAAACAATGATTCCACTCAATAGACACGTTTTTTGTAAAATAACGCTTCAAACATTTGCTAAAACAGTTTTTGCATATTATCTCAAAACAGAAATGATTTCTGCACAACAATCACCGCATCAGATTTTTAGCGATTTGAACCTGAAGTAAAATGATTTTAATTTTTTTAAGCAAAAGCTCTGCACGAAAAAATCATGAGACGAAAATGTTTTAGAAATAAATGCAGATTTTGATAATAATATTTATTCTAAGAGAAGTCGGAGCGTACCATTTTTTTTTTTAAACATATTCAATGTAAAACCCGTATGGACGACACTGGTTGAAATAAATACAATTGTTTGTACTTCAAGAGGCATTTTGGTGTATAGAAGACATTTATAAGGTTTTATAAAGGTAGCTATAATAACATCACAGTTATTACGAAAAAAATAATTAGAAAGTTTTACCACCCTGTCTTAAAAGTTGAGAGGTTTAGGACATACAGTACGTCTGCTGGATCTGTGTCTATGAAAGGAATGCGGACAAAAAACATTTAAATAAACAGCAATATATTTTATACGTCGACTTGACGAGTACGTCACCGCAAATCGCTCCGCCCACTCATTTTATTGGCTACTTGCAAATTTGTCGAATTTTTATTAATGGGACGCGTCGTTTATAATTTTTTACGAAAAACATCGAGAGAATATCGTTTCCCCTCTCACGGATACCCCGTAGCTATAGAACGGACAGACGTACTGTACATTCATATGAAATATTTTTCCCTTATAACAGATCCAAGTATCCCACACTTAAATATTAGCATGTCATTAAGGAACACCCTGTATAGTTAACGAAACCTTTATGGTTGAACGGAATTAGCAACGATAGCTTTTCTTTTGCTTGATTGCATACAAAAAAAAAAGAATATTACTTTCTGGTTAAGTTTTTTGTGAACTTTCTCTTGAATAGATGTTTCACAACTTCAATTTGCGCTTTTACCAATTGCGGGTATTCTATGAACTCTCTCGAATTTTTTTCAATTCGTAAACTAGTGTTTACTAATTGGTTATTTTCAAGGAAATTCTACACAATAACAAAATATTTTAATACTATAATGCGAGTTGTTTGTAATTTGTAATGCAGTTTCAAGGTCTATCGCAATAATATGTAATAACAAGTTACACGTCATTGTATTTTTTATGTTTATTTCGTATTGTGTTATATGAATTTATAAGATCCAACATGAAACAACAAACAAAAAACTTAAATATAACTATAAAGATGTAAAAATTAAAATAAATATCTGAAGATAATTATCTGGGAAAGAAAATTCTAAATAATTTAAAATGGGACATGCAGTGGGTGAGTCTTAAATAAGTGCATATATCTTCAGGGCTGGTAGATCTCGATGAAAGAAACATATTTTCTCTTTACCGTTTTTCAAATAAGTCCAAAATAACCGAGCTATTTAACTTGATTTATAGAAATTTAATTTAAAAAATGATTTTTTGTTTAAATTTTGAGAACCACTGGATCTTTTCTAGGTTTTCTTTCTTGTATATTTAATCCACTACCTGTATAAAGAAATTATGCTTTTAACTAAAAACTTAAAAAAATCAAAATAAAAAAAATTGCGAAAAATCTCATAAACAGGTTTCTAGGGTCGAATTATAGTACCCCTAAAAATATTTGCATTTATTTAAGACTCACTCTGTATATAAACAGTTTCAAAAAAGAAAACGGCAGCCACTCGAAACCATTGCTACACTCCTAAAATTTAAAAAAATACCATCAATAATGTGTGAAAAGAACAATAAGTACCTACATATATCACGCGTTATTTTCACACATATCGAAGAATATAAATATATTTATATTTAATTACCACATGGAGCAACCAAACCAAACCAAACCAAACAGAATAAAATTTAAATCTGCTACAACGATAACAAAATAAAAAAATTGGCGCCAGGAGGCACGTATAGCCGTCCATACTAAAATATGTTAATATCTCGAAAACTGCGACTTTGACTGATTTTGATGTTATTACAAATTTTGTTGCAAATATTATTCCTAATCGTAATTTTAATCTAGATAGGCTGGCCAAGAAATATATATATAAAAAAACATAAGAACTGAACATAAGACAATTAATAAAATATTATAATTACATTACTTCTACACAAAATCAAAAATATAAGTTAATAAATAATAAATACAACTATCACTTTGAAAACAAACAAAGAAATACACACGAAACTAGAAGAAAGTCCGACATTTGAAAAGCAAAGAGAATTTAAATTTATTTTATGTGAATGTTTAAAATATGGCCTAATTATAGGGGTCGTTCCTACAGAAATCATCAAAGATTGTTATTTCAGAGGCTATTGTATACCATACTATCGAAAAAAACGGCGTCAAAGTGGCATTTGAAACTACAAACGGTTGTAACTTCTGTTGACGGCCGCTTTCTAAATTTTATTTATTAAAAATTGACTTAAAAATTTCTCAAAAAAATTAGTAGGCATTGAATTTAGAAAAAAATAAATAGATTTTGGACACAAATCTATTTTGAAATAACTATTTTTTACTGTGCGAAGGCCTAACAGCTTTCTTAACTTATTAACTAATTAAAAAATTAACTTAATTTTTTTTTAAAATATTGATTTTTGAAAAAAACTTACACTATACTTAAGCCGGTCCTACACGATGCGTCCAACGTTGGTTCCAACCAGGTTCCAACGTTGGAAGCAACATTCGGCACAGTTTTCGCCAATGTTATAGAATACACAATTGGCAAATACATATGTCTCCCACACGATGTGGCGAATGTCCGTGCGTCCAACGTCCAACGTTGGAAGGTTTTTGCCACATCGTGTAGGACCGTCTTTATACAGGGGCCGATCCGACAGAAATTATCAACGATTTTTTTTCAAAGGCCACTGTGACGTCTTTTTTCTATCGTATATAATCGTTATTTAGTGTAAACTAAGTTTATTTGATAATATGCGATACGCCATGAATTTTTAGAAATTTTAAACATATTTTTAGGTCATTGTTTTATTTTTTTCTTCACACACCTCTCTATAGATTAGTCACGACATTTTGCATGTAAATTTCCTAGTTTACCTTATCATAAACCACACAAAATTAAGAATGTTGACTCACAAATAGTTTCTGTATGGACGTAATTAAACCGGAATACGTAAGTCAAATATGTATTTTCCTCTACTCCAAGAAATAGTCGAATCACAGCACAGTAAATATTTGAATTACACAGTGGTAGCTCGTGAGTTCTGAAGTAGGGTGGGCACAACTTGCACAAGAAAAATCTTATCTACTACTCTTCTACGTATATCAAATACGGTACAAGCAAATATATTTGTAGTACAGTGTGTCCCATTTTCTTGTGTTTTATGGGGGTTCACCACACAATCGAAAAAAAAAACAAAATGCTACGCCACTGAATGTGGTCTAATTTACATTTATTATTACATTTAAACAAACAACTAATGTGTTTTTTCTATTTTAGTTGATTGGATTAGGATTAGTCATCGTAGGAATACTATTCAAGCTCAACATTGCAGAGGTTACCAGATTGATTCCAGGAGATTTGGGAATCGCACCAATTTTATCCATAGTTCTGGGAGCTATTGTGTTTATAACGGCTTTTCTAGGATGCTGTGGAGCAGTCAGAGAGAGTTCATGCATGTTGACAACAGTAAGTAAAAACAACAATGCAATTCTGTAAAGCGGTTGCCTCTCAAAAGTGGCTCACCTCTATAACTTTTTTACTTTTTAAGATAAAAAAGGAGATTTCGTATGTTAGTATTTGACATAAATTAGGATTGAGTGACGTATTCAGTTGTTTTCGGTCACTTCCTGTTTCACCCGAAATGACTACAACTTTTGATTTTTAAACGGCACAATTTTTAATCGGTATTTTGTTAATTTATTCGATAGAAAATGACACTCCGAATAGAATGACATATCATATGACTTTTGACATTTTGGCATATGGTTTATTTGAAATTGTAACATGCGGTTCATAACGACAATTTGACTCGAAATACCAAGTGTGTGGTACCAAATTATTCGTAAAAAAATGCTTTATCCAAATATGTTAATGTTAATAAGCCACTCTTATTCCATTTCAGAAAATTGAAATATAGTTAAAAAAACGATTTGAGCATCTTTTAACCGGTCAAGATAAGACACGAAAACTATTTTACCAAGGCCCTTGATTAAAAATTAGTGGTTTTAACAAAGCTATGACACTCTAGATTGAAATATAAAATACGATTTTTTAAGCGAAAATGTCAAAAGTTGACATATGATAAGTCATTCTATTCGGAGTGTCATTTTCTATCGAATCAAGTAAAAAAACACCGAGGGTGCAATTTAAAAATCAGTTTTACAATCAAGTTTTAGTCATTTCCGGTACCTAAAACAAGAAGTGGCCAAAAACAGTTGAATACGTCAATGAATCCTAATTCATGTCATAATATGATAGGATTTTATTTTTTATTTATTTTAGTATAATATATTAATATATCAAATCTCGTTTTTTTATTTGAAAAAATAAAAAAAGTTATAGGGGTGAGAAAACTTTCATAAAACATAGATCTTCTGATATGGATTCACCCTAAGGAAAGCCCTTGAACGCCTTTACTGCCCTGAAACCCTCACATAGAACATATCGTCCTATTGCTGCCAAAAGTCACTAACTAACATTTTTCCGAACAACCAAATTCAATCACTAACTATGTTTTGAAGCGGAGAATCGATTGCAAAAGTCATTAACTACGATTTCTGGCTATTTATGTTTTATTTTAATACCGAATAGTTACTAACTATAACATCTTTATGCAATGCAATTCATCTTTAGACGCATTTTTCTCGGAAGTAGTAAAAAGTAAATTAGTGACTTTTGGCGGCAATGGGACGATATTTTGTAAATTTTTAGAGCGTATCTTCTATGTAACTTCGTTGTTAATTGTTTTAATACACTCCAAGCAAACTCCTAGTAGTTAGGTAACAAAAATAGTCATACATCTTATGATTTCGCTGATACTAAAATCTGTAAATAAAAACTGTAAAAATACTATTAAAAAAAAGATACAGTATTTTATTAAATTCGTTATTATAATAATTTTGCAATCACTGATTATCATTTTTTCTTCCAGTACTCCATAATCCTCATCACCATCTTTATAATTCAAGTGGCGATCGGAGTATACGCTTATCTCCAAATCAAGAACGAAAACCAGTTGCGTTCCACCATCAGGAATAAAGTCGATAGTACTTTCAACGAAGCCAGACATAACCTTCCTGAAGCCTTAGAAGCTAGAAATGTGCTCCAAAGATGGGTAAGTACAGTGAATGTTTGATATTTGAATACTTTAAAATGAAAATGGGACATTATTTCGAGAATCACTAAAATAGATCTGTCTTAAAACTGGTTCGTGGAAATTTTGGCGATACAAAAGGAAAATAAAATACTAGTTTACCAAAATATACCAAAACATAATATACAGGGTGGTCCGAACTGTATTCCGGAAACTTCGGTAGCATATTCTGCAGATAAAAATAAGTAAAAAAGTTCGTATAAATGTATCTCCCAAAATGCTTAGTTTCGGAGATACAGGGTGGAGAAGTTTCATTTTTATTTCGATTATTTCCAAATCATTTCTAAATTAACGTCAATATTTGGATGAAAATTGGTGTCTGGGTGTTTTTTGACATGAGAAATTTGATTTTCATGTCAATATAACACCTATTTGTAGGGGACGCTATCTACATGTTTTTTAACTGTTTTGAAGAGTAATAACTTTTCGTCCGTACCTGTATAAAACTACTGAGTGAAAAATATATACATTTCCGTTAATTTTTACGTAAAAAAACGTCTCTTGGTAAAAATTGCTACGAGCAATCGTTCTCAAGATATTTAGAATGGAAATAGTCAATACATATCATTATTGACAAAAAATAAACACGTTGAGTAGATAGTTATTTGACTGAAATAATACATTTGGAATATTTTTATTTTTTTAATCATCAATTTTTCTACAATGATGATAAAACAGTTCCTGCTGAACTTTTGGCAAATTTATTATTTCAATCCAATAACTATTTAGTCAGCATGTTTAATTTATGTCAATGATGATAGGTATTGATAATTTCGATTTTAAATATCTCGAAAACCATTACTCGTAGCGATTTTTACCAAGAGACATTTTTTACGTAAAAAACATTGTAAATATATATTTTTTTAATCAGTAGTTTTATATAGGTACGGACGAAAAGTTATAACTCTTCAAAACAGCCAAAACACATGTTGGTGGCGCCCCCTACAAATAGGAGTTATATTGACATCAAAATCAAATTTCTCATGTCAAAAAACTCCCAGATACCAATTTCAATTCAAATTATTTGGAAAAAATAGAAATAAAAATGAAACTTCTACACCCTGTATCTCCAAAACTAAGCAATTTGGAACATACATTTATACGAACTTTTTTACTTATTTTTATCTGCAGAATATGCTGCCGAAGTTTCCGGAATACAGTTCGGACCACCCTGTATATTTTAAACTCTGATCAAATCTTGTGTTACTCAACATATTGTTGATAAAGGTATTACATAGATGTTAATCATTCAGAATTAATCAAACATATCTAAAATTACAGGCAATTATACTTTTATATAGTACCATAATAAATATACTGAGTGACAAAAAAAGGAGAACACCTCTTATTAAGATATTAATAATTATTGGGGTACATGATGGCAGCTTCTGACTTGGCAATCCATTAGGTTTTCAGACAACTTAATGGAAAATCTGGGTCAATAGTGTGTTGGTGGCCCCTGATTTTTGACACACTCATTGAAACGTCAGGCTATAGTTCTGATAAGGTGGTCGATGTCCTCTTGAGGTATCCAATTCCAGGCTGCTTCAATGTATCCGGAGGGGTTCTAAATTCGACAGCATTCGACCCATCATGTCCTAGACATGTTCAATGAATGCGAGATAGATTGAATAATGTTGGCGGCTATGGTAAAAGTAAGAGGCGTCACACAATGCGGACGATAATTAAAACGGCTAAACTTGAAACAGGCTTCACCATACGCAGACCACAATTGGTCTTCCATTTTTTTCAAGCCACTGATCTGCCATGACGCAGGTTACTACTGACAATTGATCTTTGAGAAACACAATTCTTAATCAACGATCTTGAAGCGATATGCTTCCTCACGGACATTCAGACCATCTTCTTGAATCCACGCCCGACAACACCGTATGGCGCTTAAATATCTGTTGGTTTTTCTCGAAATTTCCGGCACCAACAAGCCTGACTTGCGCAAACCAACAATTCCATTCCTTTCAAAGGCCCTAAGCTGTGATGTCCGAGCAATTCTACGCATTTTAGGTATTATAGATACTTTAGAAAAAACTGTTCGACAAACCTTGCTAACTCTACGGTTAAAGTTGATCTTACATTCGCGAAAACCGAAGTTTGGTGTCAGTTAATGAGCAATGCAGGTAAATCAACTGAAATTTTCAAGAGATAAACCTGAAAATTTCGTCACTTTTATTCAAAGCAAGATAAGGCAGCCAGCAAAAAAACTATGGAATTCTGATAAACATAGTATATAGGTGTTCTCCTTTTTGTCACCATTTCTTCTAGTTCCTATTGCTCTAGTAGGTAATTTACTCTAACCTTCGATTGGTTTTGCGTTGCTTCACTGATTTTGTCACGCTTGGTATCAGCAAAACGTCTAATTTGTGAATAATAGTTTAATTTTAATCATCTGCTGATCATGCTTTAATGAGTAACATGGTGGTTTTGTGAGGATTTATCTTAAAAAGCCACACGACATTCAGAAGCCACGAAAATAAACATTGAAAGTAAGAGCACATACACAATAACAAGACATACTTCGTATTTGGACCTCTGGCCTACAATTCAATGAAATGTTGACTCACTAAATAATAAAATATTCATATCGAGTTTTACGTATTACATCATATTTTTGTTATGGAAACAGAAATTATATGTATATGCTCTATAATAATAATTTAGTGTGGATTTATATGCATCCGTAAAGCGGGGTTCAGACGCAACGACTTGTCGTACGATTTGTTTAAGTCGACGAAACGTTCCAGATAGAACGTAGCATGTGGACAGCAATTTTGAACAAATTTTAAAACTGTGCACAAACTCGGAAGACGAGAGTTAAATGTTTCAGCTCATAGATTTCGGCGTGTATGTGCACGCTCACAACGATTTCTTTGTAGCTTTATTTTAATTTTAGTTAGCTAATCAAAAATACAAATAATATCTGACCTATGGAAATGTTCACACGAGCTTCTAAATGAGTTCATTGAACTCCACAAGAGTTTCCCTTGCTTATGGCGAGTAAAATCAAAAGAATACCAGTGGCAAGAAAAAGAAAAATCAGATCTACGAGATTATTATTGAAAAGTTTAAGAACTTGGACACTGAAGCGACTAGAGATACAGTAACGAAAAAAAAACAAACCTAGAAATGTTTACAGAAAAGAAATATCGAAATTTGATAAATCTATGCTACAGAAGTATTAAATCTATTATTTTATTAGATCTATTATATTTTTTGTATTATGCCTGGAAGTTTTTGAAATCTAACTTGGCGTGTTGAAATTTTGTATTTTATAGGTTAATATAATTTTTATTTTTATTTTCTGAGTCATAAAATAATGAGAAATTTAAGTAATTATCGTCAGACGATTGTAAACATGCCGATTTTTTTCTTTGTCTGTATGTATATTTACTGATGCAGTTAATGGCCTTTGGTGTTTAAAAATATCCAAGATTAAAGAAGCACGTGTAAAAATTTACTCTTAAATTACTAAATAACACTGAAGTAGACTAAATTAGAGCTAACTTATTACTCATTTACTGGCTATTATAATTTTTACTGACTTTTAGTTTTTGTAATTTTTTTTGGTGTTTTCTTTTTGTTTTGTCCCACTTTTAACTGACTATAACTTTTTTTTGTGGGGCTATTTGGGCTGTAACGAAATTTTTTAAAGGTATATCATTATAATTTTTGAAAATGTTTATAAAAATTTTAAGCACTAGTTGATTAAAAATCATAATCGTATATCATTAATATTGATCAATTTTTTATCTCTTGGTTATGATCTCAAAGCAGAGTTTCAAAGTGAGGTTTGCTTTTATTTCCTGACCAAATTTCTTTGCTTTCAGTTACAATGTTGTGGTGTTGATGGGCCAGACGAGTACAACCAAAACTACCCTGACAGTTGCTGCAGAATGGACAGGTGCCCTTCGCTGAATAACGACATCTTTAGCGACGGTTGTGCAAACAAACTGTACAACTTCCTGGTCAGCAAGTCGCAGCTAATCGCTAATATCGCCATTGGAGTTGCTGTTGTCGAGGTAAAATACTATAAAGTAATTTTTTTGACGAGCAATTATGACATCAAATTGACAGAAGATATAGTATTGTTACGTTTTTCGTCGGTTCCGTGTGGATAGAAAGTCACAATTTATTTAAACACTAATTAACAAAAAAACAATAACGATAAAAGACTTATAGAACTATTTACAAACGATTTATAACTAAGAATTTATTTTGAATTTTAGCGCGTCAACTGCACTGGTATATTTATAACTGCCCTCTCTAGGCCACAGCCGCCGGCTTTTATACCTACAGCAAAAGAAATCTAGAATAGTCCATAGAGAAGGTTTTGAATGTTCTCGTATGTACTAGTCCATTCCAGTGGGACTCGATTCTTCTCGAACGAATGAATCATTACGGTGTCTATGCGATGTTAAGGTCATCTGAGGGCGGGACATATAGTTAGGTTAGGTCGGGGAGGGACGGGTCCGCAACAGTATTAACAGTTTCATGTTTAATAAAAATCGTAAGCACGTTTACAGATCAAAATTTATAGAGCAGTACGTGTTTGTTCTAAGAGCAAAACGTTCTTAAAACACAACACTAACATTATAAAAATGGACACCGTTTTATAGAAGTTTTTAGTTCTTTATTAAGCTGCAAAATAAAAACACAAAATCACCACAATACACCAAAACACTTTTACTTTTACACTGGACGCGCGTTTCGCTAACCATGTTAGCATCATCAGCATTCATTCATTCAATTTAATAACAACTTTTTTGAACAGAGGGAAGGTACAGCAATGGGTAATCCATTGTCTCCATTTTTGGCTAATTTATTCATGAGCAGGTTTGAAGTGGAGGCTAAGAATCAGTTTGAGTATTTTCCAAGAGTATGGTTTAGGTATGTGGATGATATTTTTGCTGTTTTTGACACACATTCAGACACCATAGATAATTTTATTTCTAAGTTAAATAATCGTTTTCCTTCCATTAAATTTACGCATGAAATTGAGAACAACGACAGATTACCATTTCTAGATGTATTAGTTATTAGAAATACTAATAATTGCCTGGAATTTGATATCTATAATAAAATGGCTAGTTTAAATTTCTTAGTTCATAGATTACTTAGTTTCCCACTTTCCAACGAAAGATATGAAATAGAAAGAGATTACATTAGGAATGTAGCTGAGTGTAATGGACATTCTCCTTCACTAGTTGATAAATTAATTAGGAAACGTAAATTCGACTTTTCAAGTGGAGAAAGATACGTCTAAATATTTTTCGATACCGTTTGATAGAGAGTTATCCCGTGGTCTAAAAGGAATTTTTAAGAATGTCAATTATAAACTTGTGTATAGTGCTAATAATAAATTACAACAATTATTAGGTAATCCAAAAGATAAAACACCTCCACTGGAAAGGTCGGGTATTTATGAAATTTCTTGTAAAGATTGTAATCAGAAATATGTTGGGCAAACTAGAAGATCAATATTAACTAGATTTAAAGAACATTTAGCTCAGATAAGATATGGTAGACCGGATAAATCTTGCGTTGCCGAACATATTGTTGATAATGAACATTGTATAGATCTTAATAATTTAAAATTAATTAAACAAGTCTCAAATTACAGGCAATTAGATGCATATGAAAGCATCAGAATTAATAAATGTAAAGATAGTATGAACAGAGTCAACGGTCCAATTCCTTCAAGTTCTTTGTTCCTACTACTCTAGTGGCTGAAATCTAACTGTTACGCTCAGTTGGCTCTGACTCGGTTGGCTAGATTTTGCCACGCCCACTCGGGGCCCACTGAGCGAGTATATAAACGCTCAACTTGTAGATTGTACTTTAGTTTATAATCATCTGCTGATGATGCTAACATGGTTAGCGAAACGCGCGTCCAGTGTAAAAGTAAAAGTGTTTTGGTGTATTGTGGTGATTTTGTGTTTTTATTTTGCTGTGTAACACCAAAGGTTCCAACCCTCAACTGTAATCTTTATTAAGCTGTTCCCTAAATTCTAAAGTCAGTAGGAAACACTTAAAGTCTTATAGAATAATCCGTATTATTGATATCATTTTACCTATTTATATTGTATACCGGGTGCGTCTTAAAAATGGCACACCTCTATAACTTTTTTATTTTTTCAGATAAAAAAAACAGATTTGGTATGTTAGTATATGACATAAATTAGAGTTGATTGACGCTTTCAATTGTTTTTGGTTACTTCCTGTTTCACCGGAAATGACTGCAACTTTTGATTTTTAAATGACACCCTCGGTATTTTTTTTATGTGTCAACTTTTGATGTTCTCGCATATGGTTTATTTGAAATTGTAACATGCGGTTCATAACGACAATTTGACTCAAAATACCAAGGGTGTTGTACCAAATTATTCGTAAAAAATGCTTTTTTCCAAATATACTAATGAGCCACTGTTGTTCCATTTGAAAAAATTGAGATATGATTTTAAATACGATTTGGGCATCTAGGACAAGACACGATTAGACGATTAAATCTATTTTTCCAAGGCACCTTGATTAAAAATTAGTGTTTTTAACACAGCCACGGCACTCTAGATAAAAATTTAAAATACAATTTTTTTTAAACGAAAATGTTAAAAGTTGACTATGTCGTTCTGTTCAGAGTATCGAATAAAGTAAAAATATACGGAGGGTGCCATTTAAAAATCAAAACTTGTAGTCATTTCCGGTAAAACAGGAAGTGACCAAAACAATTGAATACGCGAATCAATCCTAATTTATGTCACATACCAACATACCAAATCTCGTTTTTTTTTCAATGAAAAAATAAAAAAGTTATAGGGGGTGAACCACTTTTGAGACGCACCCGGTATATTTTTAGTTTTCATATTTTCTTCTTTACAATTATGACGGCAGAAAAAGCTTATCTTGTAACACAGTTAACGTTATACTGTGTTACCTGTAGTTCGCACTTTTAGTTCTCTTATGGCTTCTAATTAATATGACATTTTTGTAACTATTGCAATGATTATATAGCAAATAGGAAATAGTTGTCGTAAACAGTCATTATAACACAATAATATCATTAGGTTAGTTTAGAATTTTCAGGTGGCTATCGGGCTGTTATCCTGCGACCTTTTCAGATCTATTGTGGTCCACTTCTGATCCTTAAGTTCTAGTCCTGTACAAAAAGTCTAGCAACTTGGAGACTGGACTCCCCATAATAGCTCTTTGTCAATGGCCTATCTAGATATTTTCATAGATATTTTTCTTCATCGTTAAAAGCATTAAAATCTGAATCGTAGAAAGATCATGCAGTATATTAATATTTTTTCTTTTGTTTCAGATCATTGGGGCAATCTTTGGATTGTGTCTCGCAAGTTCGATAACAAGGGAGTATCGAAGACAGAATAGGTACGCTTAAGCATGCGATTGGATCAATAAAATTGGAAAGAAATTGATTCATAATCGAAATTTTGTAAGGAATCTAATTCCAGGATATGTTAATATTATATTTTTTATATGGCTATATAAAGGAGGATAAAACCAGTGTATCTGGCAAATAATCTTTTGCAAATATTGTCTGTAACCAGAAAATAATATACTATCTTTCTTCTATATGCTATGATCGCACATCTGTTTTTTTTTTGGTACAATAATGACAGTCCAAGTCGTGACGTCATGTCAATGGACTGAGCTTAACGACCGTTTCTAAACATTAAGATAAATAAATACAGATAAAAGACAATTTTTTTAAAAATTTTTGTGAGCAAATAAGACTCGGGTATTTATTTGATTATCACGTGTGCTGTTGAAGATGCTATTCTATAATTTGATAAATGTAAGTCTGTTTTGAAAAATATCTAGTAGTTTTTAAGCAGTTTGCAGTTATATACCTGTTGTTGATTTATCTCCGTCCACTGACGTGACCTCAAACTCAGGCAGTCTATTCTTTGTTGATTTTATTTGAATAGAGTGAGGGCAAGAATCTCATTCGTTACCATTTTCAGTCGTTAAAATATTTTATATATTATAATTAATATTATAATATAAAAATTATCTATTTTTTTATTTTATATTATTTAAAACCTTAGAATAAGACACATACCTGATGTTTAACATCGTCAGTTATTTTTGTTAATCTACATCTAGTTATAAGAAGCTGTTATTTTTTAAAATGTATTTTTTACGTCTGTATATGTAAATCTGTAGAGTTTGTAACGTTGAAAATAATAAAATAACAATAATTTTTCTTCTGTAATATTTATTTTTTGTTATTTATATAATAATAATAATTAGTATAGGACATACCGACTTATATATAATATATACTTATTAAAAATGGAATCCTCTACAAACTACAATAAATATTTTATAGTAACTTATCTCATTCTTTAACAGTCATGTCTGTATATCCTTCAGGACTCAGGTTGGTGGGTGTGACAACCCTGATTACTTTTACTGGTGTTTCGTATCCTATACACATGTTCACTTCCTCGGGGTATTCCGTTAATTTGCACTTTTCGGCTATTTGAGAATTTTTTTCTTTTTCGAGATAGTTTTGTAAGAGATTCACATCTTCTTTGTCCGAACTTGAAGACTTATCTACAAAAAATGGTTATACAGTGTGATTTTTTTTAAAGGAGTCGAAATATTTTAACTGGTAGCACATATAATAACATATACCGATTTGGTAGTTTTAGAAGTGTTGTCTGGATTTTAACGTGTAAGACAGTGATGTAGGAAGCTTAATGGAAAATCAAATGTATTAAAAGAGATAAAAGTTGGGTTTAAACATTTCTCCTATGCGGTATTGCCGGATTTTGCATCAAAAGTTCAAACCACACAATTAGGCGTTTATGGAAAATGTTGCGTCTAGGGTTGGAACCTGATTTTTTAAAATTAGTTACCCATTTTACTACAGATGTAATAGATTATTTTTAGCTTAGATATATTATCTGCACTTCAGTAGTACATATGAAAGTTTTTAATATATAATAGTTTTTTTCTACACAAATTTTCCTACAAACGTAAAAACCGGCAACACTTTGTGCCGCTTTTCATTTTGTCTCTCTGTTTGTCAACCGGTCATTTATATTATTCTCGGTCTTAAACGTTAAAATCCAGACCACACTTCTAAAATGACCAAATCAGTATAATATATATACAGGGTAGCGTACCTCATTCGCCTCGGTTGATTATACGAAAACGGAAAGATGTAGAAACAAAATATTTTATGGGTATATGTGGGGAGGCAATGTGCACAATTTAAAATTATTTTGAAATATACAGGGTGTTTCAGAACTAAGATCCATACCAAAGTTATATTTTTTCTTATGGAACACCCGGTATTTTATTTCATTTTTGGATTCTTGGGCCCAAAAAAAGGTATTTATTATGAGTGTTAAATATGTTTAAAATCTTTAGTTTTCGAGATATTTAAAGATATTTAAATATGCATTCTACAAGAGAATAGACTATTAACACCCTGTACATTACTTTTCAGAATTAATTCTTATGCTAACTTTAAAGGTAGAGAAATAAACTTTATTGGAAAATGGTATTGGTTCGTTAAACTTATACAGGGCTATCAAAAGTTGCTGATCTATTTTAGGGATATATTTTATATAAAAACTTCGTTATTTCAAATGCAACACCTCGTATTTTTTTAAATAAATCGAAGTAGATTCAAATGCTCTTTTAAACTATATTAGGGTGTCCTATACCTATCTAGCTCAGATTTTGAATAAAAAGCGATTTTTAAATAAAATTGTAATCAAGATGGCTGGTGTCGCCATGGCAATTTTCCAGTGACAGTTAGTAACTATTTTCAAAGTCGACATTAGTTTATGGACATTATTATTTATAATTTATAACAGTTTACTTAAATTTACCTATAATAGTTTAATAAGTAAGTATTCATTATTTTATTAAGAAAAATAAAGCAGTATCTGCTGGCGGACCGAATACATATGTTACTAGTGATATTATTTTGTGAGGAAAATTGCTTCTTGGCCTCAAGGGCTTATGCTCAAAGATATCCAAATAGGAATCTTCCTGATAAGCGTTTCTTTGAAAAACTTTTTGTCCTATTTCGCAGAGCTGACCGGTTTATGAAAAACCTATTAGGCAGAAACCTGTCGTTGATAGTGAAGAAAATGAATTTGCCGTAATTGGCTCTTTTATAGAAAATCCATACATTCAAGTCTCATCATCGTAAAATAATTCAAAGAACTACTTCTTCGTTTTTCTTGATAGAATAATAAACACATATTTAATAAATATTATTTATTAAACTATTGTAGGTAAATTAAAGTCCAGGTGTTATTTCCTTTACGTGAGGTGGTATTAACTCTCTTCATTTATAGTTATCGGATCGGAAAGAATTCTGATCGCGTCGCGTATATTAGTACTATCAGTAGAATTTTTTTTTCAGAAAAAATTAAAATGGAAAGGTGACAATTAAGAATGTAGATTAAGTACAAAGTGGCAACGTTGCATGCCTTTAGTACAGGCTTAAAGGATTATTGTAACTTCCAGATGCACCTGCAGTTCTAATAACTCACAACTCGCGTAAAATAACAATAAACAACGTAATAGAGAGAGATCGCTAAACCGAATAGCGTGCATGGACGTTAATAAGGCCAGGTGTTATTTCCTTTTACGTGAGGTGGTATTAACTCTCCTCATTTATAGTTATCGAATCGGAAAGAATTCTGATCGCGTCGCGTATATTAGTACTATCAGTAGAATTTTTTTTTCAGAAAAAATTAAAATGGAAAGGTGACAATTAAGAATGTAGATTAAGTACAAAGTGGCAACGTTGCATGCCTTTAGTACAGGCTTAAAGGATTATTGTAACTTCCAGATGCACCTGCAGTTCTAATAACTCACAACTCGCGTAAAATAACAATAAACAACGTAATAGAGAGAGATCGCTAAACCGAATAGCGTGCATGGACGTTAATAAGGCCAGGTGTTATTTCCTTTACGTGAGGTGGTATTAACTCTCCTCATTTATAGTTATCGAATCGGAAAGAATTCTGATCGCGTCGCGTATATTAGTACTATCAGTAGAATTTTTTTTTCAGAAAAAATTAAAATGGAAAGGTGACAATTAAGAATGTAGATTAAGTACAAAGTGGCAACGTTGCATGCCTTTAGTACAGGCTTAAAGGATTATTGTAACTTCCAGATGCACCTGCAGTTCTAATAAATTTTCTAAAATAGCGAAATAAAAACTTCAAAGGCTTGTTTCTGGAGTCGTATAAGTTCACAAGTTCTTGAATACAAATATTGCGGATATAAAAGAATCTTCGCATATTACAGGAAAATTTAATCTTAAAAGAAGAAATACAGGGCGAGTCTAATTAAATGCAAATATTTTTAAGGGTAGTATATGTCAACCCCAGAAACACGTTTATGAGTTTTTATGGCGATTTTTTTTTGAAGATTTGGAATTTAATTTTCAAAGTAAAATATTTTGGTTATTTTGGACTTATTTGAAAAACGGAAAAGAGAAAATATATATGTTTCTTTTATCGATATCTACCAGCTCTGAAAATATTTGCACTTTAAGACTCACCCTGTATGGGTGTTTATTTATAACAAGACGGTTACTATTAATTTATAGAAGTGTCATTTTGTATTTATATAATACTTTTAGGATATTTTATATTTGTAAGACCAGAGATCTTAAAAGATTGTTAATAATTTATTCAAATATAAAACTATTAGTGAATAAAATCTGTAAAAGAAATACAAACGTATCCATTCTGCTTTCGCTTAAGTAAATATTACCTGAGTGTGTTAATGTGGAAAAATAACATTTGTTTATTATTGCATTATCGGATAAATCTAAGTAGTTTACATTGTCGGTCAATAAATTTTCGAAGCAGTGATACAGATCTAAAAAGGACGGTCGCTTTTCTGGATCTATGTTCCAACACCTATTCATCAATGAGTACCTACAAAACAAACAGAACAGAGATATACATAATGTTGCAGAATTTGTTATACAATTTATTTTATGCCATTGCTATTTAATAATAATAGATTTTGAAACTTGAATTCAAAATATTAGCTATCAAAAGTTACATTTTTTTTCTTTAGAAAAGAACTATTGAATGTTACTAATGAGAATATATCAAGGGAGTCTGACATATTACATCTAAAAACACCCTGTATACGGGTGTCTTTAAACTGCTTGGTTTAGGTTCTGAAAAAAGTGTTGTACAGGGTGAGTCAACGATAGAGTAAAGTCCATTATCTCATTTGTTTCAAGGTTTACAAAAAAATGTTTAATATAAAAGTTATAGGGATGGTTAAGATACACATTTTGTAATTATTATAGAGTATACAAGGTGCTTCAAAAAAGTGTGGCGGCTATAACAAATGTTTTTTTAAATGCAACACCCTATTTTTTATTTTATTTTTAGATTCTGCGTAAAATTCCATAACTTTTTTATATATATTGTTATATACCTAAAATTAATAGTTTTTGTAATATTTTAATTTATTTAAACAAATGTTAAATTGCAGTGTGGTAAAAAATTGTCAGTGGTGCTATTGTTTCTGATGTTGGAGTACCAAAATTGGTAGGAGAGTTTTATAGAGATGAAAAAAAAAGATATATGTAAAGATATTTTAGTTAAATGATACAGGGTGTTCAAAATATTTTTCTGAATTTCAACTACTTTAAAATAAAAAATCTCAATTTTTTTAAATGGGACACCCTATATATTATCATTTTTTCTGATAGATTTTACAAAACTCTTCAACTTTTATTAAATATGTCATATACCTATTTTTAATTGTTTGCGATTTATTCCCATTTTTTCTATTTTTACCCATATTTTTAATACAATTACCCTATAGAATCATAGTTACCATGACAAAACAAAACTCTTTATTACTTACCTTTAACAAGTAGGTTCATAATTAGTTACAATTTCTGGTATTAGTTAAAATTAATTAACTTTACTCAAATAAACTAAATCGCAGTAGTGAATTTCTTGTGTATTTCTATATTATGATAAATGACACTTGGGATTTTTCGTCGAGGCGAATAGCCACAGATTAGCGTAATACTAGATTACCTAATTGCTAAAGACTACTGATATAGGAATTTTCTTCGACATACAGTAAAGTTTGTTCTCGTAGTAATTCTGGTTTATAAATTTGGTAAAGCCAATTTACTACTGCCGCGAAACCGTCCAGAAACACACTGAAGATGTTTTCTAGATAATATACAGTACATCTGCTGGATCTGTGTCTATGAAAGGAATGTGGACAAAAAACATTTAAATAAACAGCAATGTATTTTATACGTCGACTTGATGAGTACGTCACCGCAAATCGCTCCGCCCACTCATTTTATTGTCTACTTGCAAATTTGTCGAATTTTTATTGATGGGACGCGTTGTCTAATTTTTTACGAAAAACATCGAGAGAATATCGTTTCTCCTCTCACGGATACCCCGTAGCCACAGAACGGACAGACGTACTGTACATCTATTCTTATAGTAGTTAGCAAAGTACTATATAATATATAGTAATGAACCAAAAAATGTGGTTTCCTAGGCTTGTCCGTGTATATCAGTCACATTGACTAATTCATTTGAAGAAAATCTGTAACTATTATCTCTACCATTTATACTTATTACAACAAATTAAACTAAAATTCAAATTTTGTTCTTAACTAGCTTAACGGACATGAAATTGTGATAATTATTACTTTTTGTCATGGCAACTATGATGTTATAGGGCAATTGTATTAAAAATATGGGTAAAAATAGAAAAAATGGAATAAATCGCGAACTAATAAAAATAGGTATATGACATAATAAAAGTTGAAGAGTTTTGTAAAATCTATCAGAAAAAATGATAATATATAGGGTGTACCATTTAAAAAAAATGAAATTTCTTAATTTTAAGTAGTAGAAATTTCTTAATTTTTAGAAATTCATAAATATATTTAGAACACCCTGTAGCATTTAACTAAAATATCTTAACATATATCTTCTTTTTAATCTCTATAGAACTATCATACCAAGTTTTGGTATTCCAACTTCAGAAACAATGGTACTACTGGCAATCTTTTACCACACTGCAATTTAACATTTGTTTAAACAAATTTAAATATTTCAAAAACTATTAATTTTAGGTATATAACATTATATATAAAAAAGTTATAAAATGTTACGTAGAATCTAAAAATAAAATAAAAAATAGGGTGTTGCCTTTAAAAAAACGTATGTTATATCCGCCACACTTTTTTGAAGCACCCTGTATACTCTATAATAATTTTAAAATGTGTATCTTAACCTTCCCTATAACTTTTATATTAAACATTTTTTTGTAAACCTCGAAGCAAATGAGATAATGGACTTTACTTTATCATTGACTCACCCTGTACAATGATTTATTAAAATATAGATACATATCATATTATAAGTAGAAAAATAAAATTTTCTTACAAAACTATGGAACAGTTTGGGGGCCTTTCCATTCGATATCCTTGTTTTAGGAGATTGTATAAATTGTGAACTGGTAATCCAGGATAAGGACTAGCTCCCAAAGTTACCAATTCCCATATTAGTATTCCAAAACTCCACACATCGGATTTGGTGGTGTAAATGTGGTCTGCCAAGGATTCTGGAGCCATCCATTTTACTGGAACTATTGTACAATAATAATTAAAAGCCATGTAATTTTATCTTTAGTTTTGTTCTAATTTTTATGTAATACAGGGTGAGTCTTAAGTAAGTGCAAATATTTTCAGGGCTGGTAGATCTCGATAAAGGAAACATATTTTCTCTTTACCGTTTTTCAAATAAATCTAAAATAACCGAGATATTTTACGTTGAAAATATAAACAAAAATTTTTTTTGCTAAAATTTTGAGAACCCCTGGATCTTTTCTGGATTTTCTTTCTTGTAAATTTAATCTACTACCTATGTTGCCATATTATCAACAAATTATATTTTTTAACTAAAAACTAAAAAAAAATTTCTCAAAGAATCCCAAATTTTCAAAATTTTTTTTTCGCGAAAGAAACCTCATAATCGTGTTTCTGGGGTCGCTAACCTAACCCTAAAAATATTTGCACTTATTTAAGACTGACCCTGTATAAAAAAAAATCTAAATTAAAACTGTAAAGTAAAGTAAAAGTAAAGGTCAGTACTGTAATCATTACAGTATTGATTAATGGTATTGAACCGATTAGTATGTTACATGAAGTTTGTCCAGCGAGTCAGGGAAGATTTGGACAGACAACATCCAAAAAATGACAGAAAATACTATTACCTTTGAATTAATACGACAGACAACAATTATCACTGTCAAGTATCCTTTCGTTGGACAGACCTTAGTCAGCCTTAGGTATCACTGTCAAGAGAATAACTAAATTTCGAGATAGTAATGAAAACTTTCCTTCGTGGTTTGTATTCTATTTTATTTACAACCACACCATTAATCAAAAAGTAGGTACAATATTTTATTTTAAAAGTTAAAAAATTTAGTCAAAATCTGCCATTTTTTATTTTGAAGCTCTGTTTTAAAGTGCTAATCTTCAAACCCAGTAAAAAATAAATAACATTTGTCAATTTTTTAATTTCTTGTTCGTTCCTCCGAATTTGAGTAACAAAAAAAGCCAGAATGTTTCTAGAAAAAGATGACAACGAAGATTATTTTCACACAGGTACCCACCAGAACTAAAGAAGATGAAAAAAAAAAATAGAAGCAAGATGAGTAAGGGAAATAAAATGAGAAAGTCAAAGTAAAAATAAATGATACAATTTGAAAATTTTAAAAAGCTACTAATGAAAATCTACATTTACTAAAGTAATATTTAATATTAATAGTTTTACTATGTATGCTTACCTCTGCCTTTACTTCGTTTAAAGTAAGCATTATCTTCATAAATGTCACGTGTCAAACCAAAATCCGAAATTTTACAAACTTTATTCTTCGCTAGAAGTATATTCCTGGCAGCCAAGTCTCTGTGAACCAACTGAAATAACGATAAGTTATAAAATATAATCGAAAGAAAAAACGGCGTCAGCGATGGCTATGAAATGAATCGCTGCCATTTTATATGTAAAATTATATGGGGAATGTCATCGATTGTCGTTTCTAAGTCAACTTAACGCCATTTTTTTTTGATCGTAAATATAAAGATTTCTGAAAAGCTAAAGGTACATAAAGAGATCTGATCTCTCTGGAGTCGATAACTAAAGTAAGTCTTTAATAAATATCCATAAAAAAACGTGTTCAATTTCAGACACATTAAAGGTGTTTGGTTTGGTTTGGTAATAAACCTTTGGCTGCTGCGATCAATAGGTATGTAATATTTTAGATAGGATTATGAAAGAAAATGACGAAAATGACAATATCTATTTTTTCTTACTTTTATGTCGCTAAGATATGACATTCCGCTGGCAATCTGTCTGGCAAATGACAAAATATCTCTGGCTGCGACTTTGTTGTCTGTGCTATCTTCAATGGCGGCCACTTCAGCATTTGTGAGCAAATGCCTACTCCTCCTCAAATAATTCCTATTAAAAAAGAAACAATATTTATTTCAAAACTTTGAAACATACTTATTGGATTGTATTATACTGTGCTGTTCTGTAAAGATGTATATGAAGATATTCAGTATTTTATTTACCTCAGTGATCCGAATTCCGCATATTCGATAATGACAAACAACGGACCATCGCTAGTAGAACAAATCCCTAATAATCCTATGACGTGGGGATGAGACACTTCTTTTAAAAGTTGATATTCTGAGTATAAGTCGTTGTAGTCTTGTTTCCTGGCATCATCTTTAAGTGTTTTGACCGCTACCAAGGAGTAACCTAAACAAAATAAAAAAAACTTAATCAAAAAACATTCTTTTTTGAATTATTAGGTACACTTTTAAGAATTGTAATATGTATTTTTTATGTAGGTACCTGGTCTTCCAGCTATATTGAAAGCTTTTGCTTTCAGGACCTTTCCAAATTCACCTTCTCCAAGTATTTGGTCGATTACAATTTGATCCCGTGGGAATTCCCATTTTGTATCAATCTACAAAAAGTTTGTCACAATTGTATCGAAAGTATATCACATATATGATTGTAAAATAGTTTCAGAGAGAGTTTATTCACCTCAATTTTTGTTTTTACAAAATTGCCATTGCCTGGTCCCAACGGTGATGATATATTGAAATTCAAAACCATAGGCTCCGTATTTCTGTCTATGTAGTCTGAAAAAGGTGTCTCTGCTTCTTGACCACTGTTTATATATTTCTCAGCTATTTTCTTTCCGTGTCTTCTTTTCCACATTATCACAAAACCAGCTATGACACACACTAGAAGTAGCAAACCTCCAGCAGTGCCTACAATACAGTCGGCTCCGCATTTTGTTTCTTCTGAAACAATACAATAATAGTTGAAATCACTGACTCATTTACCACAATGAATGGTTAAAGCATATTTGGTGTAATGTAATCTCTGGACGCACAATATGCTAACAATGTTAGTATTATTACTTTTATTATTAAAAGTATCTATTTACTTTTAATGATTAAAATTGATGTTTTTATGACTACCATTATTGTTTTAATCATATTTTTGACTACCTTGATTAGTAAAAGGTGTAGTTTAAAACTATCTATTTCCGATTCTTACCTACAAATTTGTTCTCCAAAGGTTTAGGTTTTTCCTTAGATACTCCTGATGCCAGAAGCATTTTTTTGAAATTTATTTTGCACAAACAACTCTGTTCGCAAATTAAGATTCCATTACATTTATCTATGCCTTTCTTGGTTACTTCGTTGACTGTTGCCGGGAAAACTGAATCTGTGAAAATATTGTACAAAAAAATATTGCACAAAGATGGGAAATTATTGCTGATGACAAATAATGACTAATAATGAAAAAAAAAAGTTAGTAAAATATTTTTATTTGCGGAGATAACAAACTATCTACATATGTATATAAAATGTTAATGTTTAACTGTGTCGTCTCTACTGAAGTAACGACTTGCTCTAGAAAGCTAATTGGCTCTTTTAAAAACTGTCGTCGCCGAATTTTTTGTTTTTCATTTAATTAAAAAAAATAAGTATTTTTTTTCCTGATGTCGTGGCGGATGTGCCAGGCTTCAACTAGTTTGACTTCAACTAGTTTGAAATAAAAACAAAAAACGTAAATTCCATTAAATTGAATGTGCACTAAATATTTTTATTTACGGAGATAACAAATTATTTGAAATAAAAACAAAAAAAGTAAATTCCACTAAATGTGCATTTACTGATAGAGTTGATAAATTTTTGTGAAAAAAAACTCAAATTATTTCAGAATCTAAAAATATTTTACTGACATTTTTTTTCATTATTTGTCATCAGCAATAATTTCCCTAGTTTATGCGTATAGGTTAAAAATCACCCTGTATATACGAGCCTTATTTTTGGTGAATTTGGAATTCATATACAAGGATTTGGTGTTATGATATTACCACAGATTATACAGAATATAATCTTTGTTTTTTCTTTATTGTTTTTCGTGGTTCGAATTTTCGGAATCGGGCACTAGTTAGGTGACTAGTTTGCGCACATAGCACGCCCACTTATGGCCTCTAAAATTGTGCACAGCGCCTGACCGACACAGTTATTAGAGAGATATCGGAAAACCGAATAGCGTCATCCAGTATTTACGCGTACCTTATCATGGTTACGATATGCGCGAGTCAACGCAACACCTGCTAATAAAGTTACTTCCTGACGTAATTTGCGGATCAATTACACCAAGCGCTCTTGCTAAATAACCTCTGATAACGTTTAAAAATTGCTTAAATGGGCATGTGCGGGTATTTGACAACCGGAGCCGGCCGGCGAGATCTTTTATTTTAGCTTATGTTTGAATTGTTTTGAATTATTGCTTTAGTTTTATTAGGTAATTTGATATTTAAGTAACTGGGATTAGTTTTAATTAAATAAATATGGCCCAAAATATGGATTCCACCTCTTCCAATACTAAAGAACCTATAAAGAGTCTTAGGTTTACAGCAGATGACGACTTAGCCCTTCTAAGAGAATTTGTTGCTTGTTGTCCTAAACCTATTGGTAGACGTTGAACAATAAAACACTGGAAACAAGCACTTTAGCCCTTTAGTTTTAAAATACCTAGTAAACAAAACAATTTCAAAGTTTTAAATTCAAAGTTAGGTTAAGTTTAAATAGCGGACGCGACGCGATCAGAATTCTTTCCGATCCGATAACTATAAATGAAGAGAGTTAATACCACCTCACATGAAGGAAATAACATCTGGCCTTATTAACGTCCATGCACGCTATTCGGTTTAGCGATATCTCTCTATTACGCTGTTTATTGTTATTTTACGCGAGTTTATTTTTGCGTACAGGAAATTTGACTCGTTTGCACATCGTCATAAAAAACAATTTTCGTACCACGAATTAGGGACGAGATTTTTATCTGTATACTTATAGGATACCTAATCTGTGATATTACTTTTAAGCTTAAAAAGTTTGTGGAATGGAATCCTCACTAAAGGCAATTTATTTTCAGATCCGTATAGCTATTTTTTAAAAGGTCATAATTATTATTATTTACCTTTGGAACAATCCTGTGGACAAATTCTCTTTACATCTAGTTCCTCTAAAGAGTCACATATACCGTCAGGACAGTATTTTGTATCGGCTGAACAAGTAGAGTAAATATGACTTTCGTGATTATCTGGACTTTTATCACCTCGCCATAGACATCTTTGTGGTCCAGCCCTAGATACATAAAAACTGTTCATTGTTACACCTTTTAACAAAAAATTTAATTCTAAAATAACAGAAAAAAAAAAACATGGATACGGTGCATCATTATACGTCTGCATTACTGAACACCTGAATGTAATTTTTCTGCATATTTATGTGTTATGCAATGCACTGCCAGCTGTTCGGAATAATAAAGAATGATTAATGGTGATGATTAAAATGTAGTACTGCGTTTTTAAATCAAACTTAATATATTTTGAGGAAGGTTGAGGGAGATGACTAAACGGATAATATAACTATAGGTTGCTGCTCAATCTAGGTTAACAAATAAAAAAAAATAATGTTACAGATTTGGCTATTTTTTGAGAGAAAAATTTGGAAATTGTTTTGACCTAAACTTTCATTCAACTGAGTGTGCTTTTCTTATAGGATGATTAACTCAAGATTATTCACCATTGAAATGTAGATATGCGCATTTTTTTATGTTAATCCTTTTCTCAAGAAAAAAAAAACATCAAGAAAAGTACATTAAGCATCAGAAATTAAGTAATGACTAATTTAGAAAGGAAAATTAATCTTGAAAATTACAAAAAATGTAAAAATGCATATAAAGTTTGAACGAACTAAAATAAACTGTATATTAACTAATAACAATCGTCCACTGAGAAACAAACAGAGGCTAATGCATAGCAATACCTTCATCCAGAGAAGTAATTCTAAATCTATAAAGAAACTGTTAATTCTCAGCAAGAATAAAATGCGAATTATAACAGATCCCTTGTAACAGTTAAATTTCATCGCTACGACCTCTATGTGCTAGCTAGAATTTAGAATTTAGAATGAGTGGGAGTGGGGTTAATCACTGCGACCTTACAGATCCATTGTGTCCCCCTTTCTTGAGTCATAACTCATCATACAGCCCCAGGGCTTTGACAAAAGCGAGTATCTGGGACAGTTTTATAGAGGGTAGTTCTCCATCTCCAATATCAGTCGTACCAAAATTCATGGCACGAATGGTTGTCGTCTCGGCGCACTCAGTGATGAGGTGTACTGGTGTTTCCCTATCTTCCCCACAGAATCTGCAATCGCCGTTTCTTCTTAGTTTCAATCTACTGAGGTGTTCATTGAGGAGACAGTGTCCTGTTAAAAACCCCGTGACAATCCGAAGATTGTTCTTACTTAAACCCAGGAAGATCTGTGATTTTTCTTGATCATAAGCCCTCAGAAACTTCTTCGAGTGTCTTAGACCGTTGCAAGATTTCCATTCCAGGTTGCGGATGGAATCTTCCAAGTTCTTGAGTTCCGCCTTGAGTTGGTTACCACTTGGAAAGCAGAACGGTTCTGGTCCAGTTAGTGGAGTGTTCGCTCCTTTTCTAGCTAGATTATTTGCTTTTTCATTGCCTTCTATCCCTTGGTGAGCAGGCACTCAGAGTAGGAGGACTTTAGTTTTCTTTGCCTAATTTATTCAGCTTCTCTATGCATTCTTTGACCAATTTCGAATTGATTGATACTGAGTTGATCGCTTTTAACGCTGCTTGACTATCAGACAAGATGGCTATTTCTTGTTTCCGATAGTTCCTATCTAAGATAAGTTGTACGCATCTTTCGATAGCGTAGATTTCTGCCTGTAGGATACTAGGGTAAGTGCCCATTGGTTCGGAGTATTTAGCTCTCGGCCCAAACACTCCGATCCCTGTTCCCGGTCTATGTGCTAGCTCATAAATTATCGCAAGTAATTATTATTTTTGCATCATGTTTACTATAATTTTATTGTTAAATATTATTTTATTTGGAATTTTACGATTATCAACCCGATATACACCGCGATATTATACAGCTACAGCTCAACAATATTGTCACTGGAAACGGCCGCCCAGCATTAGAATTTTTGTCGACCTCTCTTTATCTTTGGTCATCCTGTCCGTCACTTGTCACTGTCAGATCAAATCAGATGTTTTTGGATTTATTTATCCTTTGTTTTGGTTATTGAAATTTTATAATTATCAGATAAAATTTCGTAGTTAAATCGTTTATTTTTTATGTGGATCGCAGTGTGCAATTCGTTCATTTTAATTGTGGAATTTCTGAGTTAAGTTCGTTCATTGACCGGATATGCAACATGGCTGTTGGAAAATATTCTAGAACATCGTTTTTTATTTATGCCTTTTTGTGAGTGGGACTAGTCGAGATATATAGTTCTCTATCTATATCCTGGAGGGAGATTTCCGGTTGAAATCTGATTTTGTGAAGGAAACCGAATCCTGGCATTGCTTCTTGTGTACTCCCCGACCGAGAATATCGTCGTGAAGAACTGGTTGCCGTTTCGTGAAGCATTCCCTGTTGGTGAATAGCAGGTCTTCCTAGAGAAGGTTTAAGGCTTCCGAAACACATTTGGTCAGAGACGTGGTTGGATTTTGATGATTTTTATGGACCGCCGACCAATTTCCGCAACGGGATTAAAATAGCCAAATTTTCCGACCGATATCCCGATTCCACGTGCTCAAGAAGTCCCCGAGACGTTCCAAGGTATACTATAATTCTTCTGCCTATTCTAAGCCAATGCTCAACTGATTTTTGTTCATATTGTTGTCTGGTTTTCGACTTTTCCACGCCCACGTGGTGTAGTAAGATTAGTTGAGTGTTATCTTTCTTAAATCTTATTTGGTTGTTCGTAATTGTAGAGCAAGAAGACCGATCCAGACCGTAGCACAGAACAGTCCAGAATTCCATCCGTTCCTGTTGTCCGTGTAGAGGTACCCGTTGGACATCATAAACCCTCGTTAAGGTAAAGTTCAGATTTGATTAGTCCTTTTTTATTACCTTTATTAACTCCTACACGTTGTGCTAGTCCTTGTTCTATAATTGAGGCTCTTTTCTAAGACAACCAATGTTATTTAGGGTTTTTATGTCACCTTTTGAAGTCCTACACCTGCCTGTACATTTGCTGACAGGCTCCAGTGACAGTACACCGAGCTGTTGTACCCTGTTGTAGCCATCCTGTAGCTATACACCGTAGCTCAGCCGGAAGAATTGACAAGTAGTTTCAATACTTAGAGTAAGACTGTTTAGATATTAGTTAGATTTAGTTTGCTATTTGTATTCCGCCCTTAGAACATACTTAGTTTAAGTTAAGGGGGATGACGTCTTAGTTTTAGTATAACTTAGACCATTTTCATTTTTCATTTGTTCTTATAGATCTAAACTCTACTTTATTTCACATACATTTCATAATTTTCTTTATATATTAACTTCCTAATATTTTAATAAATTGCTTAAATATTTTTAGTAGTATTATTTACAGTCTAGTCTCATAGTTAAGTTAGAGTCACTTAAGTTCCAATAATTATAGTAAGACTTGAAGTTCATGGTAGTTGCACTCAACAGTTCGAGGTTAGTGTTGAAGTCTACTTAATAGTAACATCTTTTATGCCGAGTTCATAGAGTATAATCTCGTGGCGCCCTTTTATTAATATCTTTGAACCCCGACCACCCGGCTGTTAAAATTAAAAAGCTAGTGGCCTCTATGCAACTCATCTCGATTAAGTAAACTTGTGTTTTATTGAACTTCAAATTAGAAAAGGTCGCGGCACCCTTAACAGGACATATGGCTATTAAGTGCTACCTAAACAAGCTCAATCTGTATGAAGGTAGTCATTGCTGCAGACCCTGCGATAAAGATCCTGAAAGCAGAGCACATAATATGTCAATGCGAGGCTCTAGATAGGAAGCGACATTTTCTATTTACGAAAGCATAGCTAGAACTGGAGGAACCATGCTAACCAACTCTAACAAGGACCGACACAAGCTGGTGTAGGGCCCAGGGATAGGAGACTTGGTGCAGACATAGAAAGGCGACAAGCACAAAGTGCCTTACAACTTACAAGTAACAGTATTTCCGGCACAGGACGACACATTTAATATTGAGAACTAATGATAATCTAAATATTTGATAAAAGAAGGTAGCACTTGCCAATGACATTATACTTTATATAGGATAGGAATATTTGGGCCGAAAACTAAATACTCCGAACCAATGGGCACCTACACCAGTATCCTTCAAGCAGAAATTTACGCTATCGAAAAATACGTACAATTTATCTTAGATAGGAATTATCGAAAACAGGAAATTGCCATCCTATTCCATAGTCAAGCAGAACTAAACGCGATCGACCTAGTAACCATTAATTCGAAGTTGGTCAAAGAATGCCTCAGAAGCTCAACAAATTAGGCAAAGAAAATAAAGTCCTCTTACTCTGGGTGCCTGCTCACCAAGGGATAGAAGGCAATGAAAAAGCAAATGATCTAGCTAGAAAAGGAGCGAAGGAGCTAACTGGACCAGAAACGTTCTGTTTTCCAAACGGGAACCAATAATTGAGAGCGGAACTGAAGAATCTGGAAGACTCAATCCGTAACTTGGAATGCATGGGTGTCCTCCAACGGTCTAAGACAAAGAGAGACTAAGAAAAAGTTCGTCAGAACTTACGACCGAGAAAAATTAAAGGTTTTCCTTCATTTAAGTAAAAACAATCTTCGGATTGTCACGGGGTTTCTATCAGAACACTGTCTCCTCAACGAACACTTCAGTAGGCTGAAGCTGAGAAAAACGGCAAATGCAGATTCTGTGGGGAAAATGGGTAAACACCAGAACACCTTGAAATGTCGCAAATTAGAAAATAAATGGAATTAAAGGTTGACATAACAGATTACTGTACCGGTTTTCGACATTAGTAGCTCCTCCTGTACCCAAAGCACACGAATCTCTACTAGTACATTCTTTCTGATTAGGAAAATGTGAACAAAAAGTCCAGTCTGTAACATTTTCACAAGTTTTTGTCGGTTCTTCGACTATTCTGACAACTACTTCTTCACTATTTGTAGTATTTACTTTCAGCCAAGATATATTCATCCTAAAAATAACCTTTTATTGACTTATATTTTTGTATTAATTAATAAAAACAGTGAAATTCGATTTTTTTACCTTAGAAATTCAGGAGATTCTCTTAAAGCTTCGGTATCAGACACATATACTATTCCCTCTTTGGTAATTTTAAAAGGGTTTTTCTTAGCATTCAGTATTTTTATGTGGTAATGCTTTATGGATTTAATTGTTTCTTCTGGTTGTGTAACTCTAGCGAAAGGTGCTGCTGTTCTGCAATTTGATAAGAGGTCAGAATATTGAAACTTATCAGAGAAATACTATATGTTTTTAGTTATACAGGTTTAGTTAATATAAAGCTTGTAAATTGGTGTATTGTTTGGTATTGTGGTGAAAGATGAGCATATTAAATATCCAGTTCGATATCTTGTGCAGACTTAAAAAAAATATTATTGTGAAATTATCTATCACTTAGAGGCATAAACGAATTTTTAACATTACATTTTGAAAATGGATTCAAAGGCACGTGTGTGGGGTTGAAATATACTACTAGTTAAAATATTTATACAAATTTAAGACACATCATGTATACCGGGTGCGTCTCAAAAGTGGCTCACTCCTATAACTTTTTTATTTTTACAGATAAAAAATCGAGAGCCCTTGATTAAAAATTAGTGTTTTTAATACAGTCATGGCACCCTAGATTGGATTTTAAAGTGCAATTTTGTTTTAAGCGAAAATGTCAAAAGTTGACATATAATATGTCATTCTATTCAGACTGTCATTTTCTATCGAATAAAGTAAAAAAAAACGAGAGTGTCATTTAAAAATCAAAAGCTGTAGTTATTTCTGGTGAAACAGGAAGTGGCTGAAAATGATTGAATACTTCAATCATTCCTAATTTATGTCATATACTAACATACCAAATCTCGTTTTTTTTTATCTGAAAAAACAAAAAAGTTATAGGGGTGAGCCACTTTTGAAACGCCCCCGGTATTAGTGATGTTCTCTAGGAAGTTTGGACTTACCTGAAAATTTTACTGTTATTTCTGAAAAAGTTAAGTGAGCGTTTGGCTAGAAAATGTGTAAACTCTATTTCTATATTAATATAGGCCTGTAAAGTTAGATGTTGTTAGTATTTGTTAATATGTTATTAGAATTACAATAAAAAAGCAAAGAACCGTATACCTACGGTGTTGTTTTCTGTCTTAAGTTCCAAATTTGTATCTTGCAATCCCAATAAAAAATTGATTCGCTCACCCTTCTTAAAAATCTTCGATTTTTTGGATTTTATTACTGAAATAGAACAAAAATTACTTTAATTTAATTTTAAAATTGATACTACTTTTTATACAGTGGCGGCGCGGCGCCTGGTGCAAATACTTTGGGGTGCAAAACCTTAGATTAGATATTTTGTTCTAAAAATATTATGATGAGGGAGTTTCTTTTGAACCTTTGGCACACAAACATTGTAAATTTATGATTTCAATCCAATAGCTTTCTTGTCAACATGTTCATGAATGAAAATGTTGTCAATGATGATAGGTATTGATTATTTCGATTCCAAATATCCTGAGAACCATTAAAGGATGATTCACGGTACACCGTGACGGGCCGGGGCCGTGCGACGGTGAAGGCACGGCCAAACATTGTCAAATGTTATTTATACTTATACATTCATGCTAAGCCGAGCACGGTCCGAGCTTCGCCGGAACGCGTCCGTGCCCCGTCCAAGAAACGTCGGTGTACATTTTTCCTCGGATCCGCTACGTTCCGGCCCCGTTGCGGCAAACATAAATGAGCCGCCGCGGCTAAATACTTCGTTCGTCTACGGGCCTATAGCGACTGTTTTCTAGCAGTGTTGCCGCACCCAACTTTTAGCGCGTACCACATTATAAACTAAAAATGTATCACTTTGGTACAATTTTTTAAAGCACAACAAAATACATCTGCAAATGACTTTAACCGGTTTGGTCGTTGTGAATTTCTTCATAAATTTCTACATAAAAAAACTTCCTGGAGAAAGACACAAATCGAGACGAAAAACATGAAATAGAAATTCAGAAAACCCAATTATAAGTATGTATAGGTTGAAGAAATGTAAGTAATTCTAATACTGCACACGATACTTGGAAAGCTTAAATTTTATTAAAAAAAAAACGCAAATATAGAAGCATGTTAGAAACAGCAAATTTTTAAGTTTTTTCTTCGGGTTATTTAATATAGGCAACCCTATAGACATTACAACGTTTATAATACGTCGTTAATTAATGCGGATTGTCTCCGAATGGTATCGGTAAGCGCGTTTAATGCAATATCAACGACGATAATTATTAAATATCTATTCATTTTCGGTGCGCGGGAAATAATTATTGTACCGAATCATCCTGGATTTGAAAATGTAGTACCACGTACTGTACCAAATAGAATTAAAAGTATCAAATTTGGTACAAATGTACCACTGCGGCAACACTGTTTTCTAGAATATAATCAGCACGGACATGATCCCCGTTGTCCACTCGGTGTTGCATATATTGAAGGCCCGGACGTGGCTCGGTGTCTACTTTACGGAACGTGCCCGGCTCGGGTACGGTCCGGTGTACCGTGAATCATCCTTAAGCCGGGACCCCGTTAGGCCATACGCCACGCGACGCTACACTATCCCACGTCAGCCCACGTGGGAAATAGTGTATACATGATATCTGGGATAAACGACACACGTATGATGGCGTGGGATGGCTAGTGTGTACGCAAAACATGTAATTAAATCGAAAAACATACGCACAGATCTTCATGACGTGGTGTGGCATGGGGTGGCATGGCATGGCGTGGCGTGGCGTGTTGACTAATGGGATCCCGGTATTACTTGTAGCGTTTTTTACGCATTTTAGGACTAATTATTAGAAATGTATACGACCCTTTTTACATACTTTTTTCTTTTTAAAGTTTCACAAATATAATTCGGACCACCCTTATATATACACTTATTTACTTACAGCAAATTATTTTTGTCCTTTTCCTGTGATCTACCATACAGTCAGGCTCAAAATATTCCGAAATGGTTTTGTTCGGTATAAAGAACCTATAAATGTTTACGTCATGATCATCTTCATCAAGAAAAACAAGATCCTGGACCACAGTTTCTCCCTGAAAATATAAATGCAAAAATATAAGAAAATTCCTACGTGGATTTTGTTTTATTGACATTTTTTCTCCTGGTCTCAATCTCTAGTTCGCCTACAGGAGAGTTTTATTCTAAGAAAAATCCAAGGTTGAGAGTATGTATCTTATTTTGCAAATATATTTAAGTTATTTACATAGAGTAATATTTTATAGGTTTTTCTGTTTATGAAATTATTTAGGTATATGTTGGTTTTATTAGCTTTCCTGTTTATTTTCCTAGTTATTCTTTTTATGTGGATTAAGAGCGTAGCTACAGTGATATAATTCTTATATCCTTTTATGAAATAAAGAAATATTAACAAAAATTAATGATAATAAGGTAACATCCAGATTAATAAGGAAGAGGAAAAGAAAACACTAATTCAACACAAATACACTAAAACACCTTACTTTTAAACACTGTAAGTGTTTTGAAGTATTGTGATGATTTAGTGTTTTATTTTGCTGGTGTAACACTAAAGGTTCCAACTCCCAACTGTAATATCAAGAAGGAAGATTTATATTTTTAAAACTCTGAAATTGTATTGATTCGAAGCTGAGAACAAAGAACAAAGTGATCACATCTTCACATTATGAAAAATCTCTGGAAAATATACCTGTTATACGATGCGGAGGCTACAATCATATACGTATTACTTTTTACAAATATACTCAGCCTAATCCCAAAAAGTGAAGCCCAAACAGTGAAAGAACAATATGGAATTCTGCATAAGTCTATTTCACCCGGATATTCATTTAACTGAGCATGCCTCACCTTAAGAAGTTTTCATTGGTCGATGTTTTTAAAGGGAAGTGGTTGACTGACATTTCCCCTAACCTTCAATTTTATTTATATTTTTATTATTTATAACACATTATCATGGAGTTGGAAAAATATCAAAAAATAGTTGGAAACAATAAACTAAACAAAATCACTCTTTTACGTGCACAAATAAAAAAGTAATCCAAACAGAACTAAAACAACAATCAATCGGAGTTTGGCGCAATCGCAGTTCAATCCATATCCGGGTGAAATAGACTTATGCAGTTTTAATATGGAGCTGGGTTATGATGTCTTTTTCTTACGGCACAGAAATTGCACACGGGGTTAAATAGGGAACCCTGGGTATATTTGTAAAAAGTAATACGTATATGGCTACAATCAGAACCACAGTTTGTATTGAAATGATATTTTGTGACTATATGTAGGTTAATTAAAAGCATTTTTAAATTCTACAGGAGTGTCTCTTATTCTGAGTTCTATAGGGTGTCTCCAAAAAAGTTACATATCAAAGTGATGTTTTCTTGTAATGGAACACCCTATATATTAATTGACTTCTTTAATTTAACTTTTATTAGAGAAGCATATAATCCATATTTAATTGGGGAAAAGCCAAAATAAAGAAAAATATTAAATTTCAATAAACACTACTTATATTGGAATTTCACCCGGTATGGCATAATATGTAGTTAAAGCAACTATTGTATTTTATATCAAATTAAAATTAGACCGGAAAAATTATACAGGGTAAGACAAACTTAATATTGAACCTTGGTCACATAAAAACAGGTTGCTCTTTTATTTCAAATGGAACATCCAGTATATTATTCCAAGTGGAGAATTCATGTCTCTTCAACATACTATTAAAATTCCCTCTGAGAAAAATTATTTTGGTTACCTTTTTGATTTTCGTTCCATGAAATCGGACAAAAACGTCCAACATTTCCGGAACCGGTAGATTATCATTCAGATCTACGATTTTGAGCTTTAAAGATTTCGTATATTCGAAGATCTTCGTCGTTGATACGCTACAGGTCACATTGAAAGTAAGCTCTTTCCCGTGCAAAGTTCTATTTAAAATTAAGCCGGTTGCCACAGTCCAGTATTTTATTTTCGCTGTGGGACGTCGGAGTTTAAATATTTCACTCTCTGAAAAACAGGAAGAAAATTAAAGAAGTATATAAAATCTTTTGCAAAAATACTTTAACTAGGTATAGGTACATAAATGGAGCTTTGAGAAGGTTTTGAATACAGTTTCGGTACAGCTCGTGAAGTATGTATACAGGGTGTTCAAAAAATGCATGGCTAAATTTTAGGAGGTGATTCTCCATAAAAAATATGGAAAAAATCCTGTAAAAAGTATGGGTACGGAAATGCATAGTTTTGAAGATGAAAAAAAAGTGGTAATATAAAAAAAGCATTCATGAATTTATTTTTTACACGAATTCAAGTTTTAAATATTTGAATTCTTATATTGTTATGTTATTGTCTTAGTTATTATACTCTTATATTCAATATAAGAATTCAACTGTCGAAACAACATCTGAGATGCCTTGAGAAAGATTTGCATGAAAAATCGAAATGTCGACAAATAAATGATTTAAAACACCCAGAAATCATTTAATTTTTAATAAAGAAACCTATATCCAAGAGAATCACAATTGAAATTATGTCTAATGAACTAATTTTAATTCCAAAAATACGTAGTGCATAGTCCACGGATATGTCCACGGAATATTGGGACACCCTGTATAGCTTTATATCTTACCTGACTGTAGAGTATAAAAAATATCTGTGACATTACACTCCCTAAAATCGTAGACAGGAGCCAGAGATCCTAAAGCCAACCCTGGACTGTTCTCCTTCACTTGATAAGTTATCTTTGACCAGAAACAGATTGAATTAAATAGAGTGTCGTCACATGTCGATCTATTCTGAAGAGAAATCTAAAAATAATAAACATACAGGGTGAGTCTGAAAGAAGTGCAAATATTTTTAGGGCTGGTAGATCTCGATAAATGAAACATATTTGCTCTTTGCCTTTTTGCAAATAAGTCTAAAATAACCGAGTTATTCATGTAATAAAAAAAATTGATTTATTTTTGAGAAAAATTGAGAGCCACCCGATCTTTCCTGAATCTGCATCCCTTTTAGAGCCGTAACCATAGTAATATCACAGATTGGAAAAATTTACGGTGAACAGGCAGTTCTAAAACCTAACATACAGGAAGATTTAAAAGAAAATGCACGATTTTCAACACCTTTTTTGCAAAAAAACCTCATATACGTTTCTGAAGCAGAGAAACACCACCCCTGAAAATATTTGCACTTATTTAAGACTCAACCTGTATATAAACATATAGTTTTATCAAATATAAACAATTTTTACAAATTTCTGATTAAAAAACGATAAATTACAATTAAAAATTGTCCTTTTTATGTAAACTGTTTACCGCTGATTTTTTAAAGTACTAATTGATTTAATTAACTTTTAGATAAATATTTGATCGCCAGATAAACATTTAACTGAAAAATGGACCGATATCAGTTATTCCTGATCCTATTTCAGGAAATGTCGGGTATTGGTTAGAAATTACCGATAAAAACATTTATAAAACCAGCCTAAAGCAAGCCGCGTATTTGGAAACTATGCGTTGTATCTTGTTAATCAGAAATCAATATTTATATGATTTGCGACAATGTCGATTGTGATAGATATGCCCTCGGTACGGTATAATGTCAAAACAGTCTCCCATTAGCAGATATATTTCTATTACTGAGTATATCCCTGTTTACAGAGTGAATTAATCATCCAAGATGTGGAAAGGTATGATTAACATAAATAAGTTCCAAAATAAATATCTGGCACAGCCTATTCATTCCCAGCCTGTCGACTTACGTCGTTTGCATAGAAATTTGCGTACCTACCTAGGTAGGTATATGTGTTGAAACAAGCAAAGATGGTCAGCTGGTAATTTTTAAATTTTCGAAGGACAGGGTATTTCCCATTCTCCTCTGACAACAGATGTTCATTCTACAAGGAGTGAGCATCTATCTCCTACGAGGATATACACCCTTCCACGGTCGGGGTTTAGCCCTCCGTGCCCTTCGCAGTCGAGGAGCTTGTCTCCGGCTAAGGTACCCGTGTGGTGGAGGCTGGTGGATCTATCTACATTTTCTTCACTTCCTTAACTTGGTCTCTCCTTAAGGCGGATTCTGAGGACTCGTGTACTTGGCAAGTACGCCAATATTTGCGTACTTGGCAAGTATACTATCTTTGTAAACAGTTTTTTGCAACAAGCTTGGCAGCAACGCGCCGCGACGAGTGACAAATGATTGTACAAGGAAACCACTCACACAACATGACAAATATATCCTAATAACCGTTGTTTGTACAAGTACATGAGTCTCCTTCGGTTTGAGGTCAACTACACTGCAAGGGTTAGTTGGTCGACTTCTACAGAGTCCCGCATGTAGAAGTAGGGGAGACGAGAATACATAGGTTAACTCCTGGTGCCCCAAGGTTGAGACTAGTAGAGGCTAGTCTCCTATCTAACAACGCATCTCTTTGACCTGGTCCCACCATCATAAAATTTAGGATTTTGATGACAAATGATTGTACAAGGAAACCACTCACACAACATGACAAATATATCCTAATAACCATTGTTTGTACAGGTACATGAGTCTCCTTCGGTTTGAGGTCAACTACATTGATAAATTAATAATGATTAATTCATTCATTAAATTGATAAAATTAATTTAATTAGTTAAAACAATTAAGACCATTTATTGCGATTCTATCATTTAATTCTATTGTGTATTGTAAAACATTTCTAAGGGCAAACTGAAGATTATTTTTTTTGGAAATTGAAACTGAGTTCCATCAAATTTTTTATCACTTGCTAAACAATTCTGCACAAAAATTTGTCCCTTTTTGACAAATCAAATTATTATGGAGAAAAAAGTAAACACAAAAATAACAAAAAAATTAAAAATTAAATTTATAAATCACATACCAAAGTTAGTCTATAGAAACTTATTAAAGTTATTTCGATTAAAAAAAATAACTAAAATTATAACCTTGATAGTTGAAAAAATACAACATTTGCGAACATCCTGTGTATTAAATATATCATTAAAATGAATAAATTACATATCAATAAGCAAAACTCCCACAGAACATATTTTTTGTTTATAGATATTATTTTAAACGTATGAAAAAATATGGGTTTATAGTAGTTCCAAAAAAATGTTTCGTATTTTTCAAAAGGGAATATATCTTTCTCTCTGTTCTTTTACTGCTCATACGCGGTTACTGCGGGGTAATAAATCATAACTGACAAATAAACATTTTTTTCATATTTATGAACATACCTACGCTTTTTTTTTGTTTTATTCATCCACCTGCTAGACATTTATATCTTCACGTTTGAAATTGTCTTAAATATCAAATAAAAATTCTCTGCAGTTGGTTTAATTCAAAATAATGTTTTGTATTACGGGTATTATGCTTTTTAATACACCTTGATGATAAATTATAACAATATGAGTATAAATTTATTAGGGCAAAATACTAATGTGTCCTCCTTCCTTGAGTTATAACTCGTCATACAGTCTCAGGAATTATCATCAAAAGCCAGTATTTGTGACGGGTTTACAGAAGTTAGTTCTCCATCTCCGATATCAGTCGTACCAAAAATTATGGTACGAATGGTTGTCGTCTCGGCGCGGCGCAGTGAGTGATGAGGTGGTCTGGTGTTTCTCCATTTTCTCCACAGAACTTGCATTCGCCATTGTTTCTTAGCTTCAGTCTACTGAGGTGTTCATTGAGGAGACAGTGTCCTGTTAAAATGCCGTGACAATCGGAAGATTATTCTTACTTAAGCCAAGGAAAATCTTTGTTTTTTCTCGGTTGTAAGTTCTGAGAAATTTCCTCGAGTGTCTTAGACCATTGGAGGATTCCCATTCCAGGTATGGAGTCTTCCAGGTTCTTGAGTTCTGCTTTTTTGTTGGTTTCCACTTGAAAAACAGGACGTCTGGTCCAGTTAGTAGAGACTCCTTTTCTAGCTAGACGTTTGCTTTTTTGTTATTTCCTATCCCTTGGTGGACTGGTGTCCCGAGTAGGAGGACTTTATTTTCTTTGCCAAATTTGTTCAGCTTCTCTAAACCTTCTTTGACCAACTTCGAATTGATGATTACTGAGTTGATCGTTCTTAAGACTGCTTGATTATCGGATAAGATGTCTATTTCTGGTTTCCCGATAGTTCCTAAAATATTTATTAAACTTATAAAATTAAAAGTATTATTACATAAGTATTATTACATAAGTATTATTACATAAGTCCTTGGATCATTCAGTTTATAGTTTCGTTTCAAAAAAAAAGAAATACTGTCACTTTTATAACACACTTGTCTATCATCTACCACTTACTTTTAAGTATCATTTCTGCCGAGAAGGACTGTCCTGGCTGCGTCGGGGCGGGGCTACTCTGTGCTTGGTGCCAGGCCACAGCAATGTGGTGGGCAATCAGGAAGCAGACAGACTCGCCAAAGACGGGGCCAGGGGAGAGGCCGTGGCAGATGACCCACCACTTGTGACGATCAACACATTGAAGGAGGCTATAGGAACTACCATCAAAGCCAAGCAGCAAGAGATGTGGCAACACCGTGAGGACTGCGCTACAGCTCGAAAACAACTACTAGAGCACAAAAAGAACCTAGTACGCATAATTGTAGGTGTCGTCACTGGAAACTGTCTCACGGGGGTAAACCTCGTAAGATGGAAAGTTTCCATCATGGACGACGACTACTGCAGAGAATGCGGAGAGGAAGAAGAAACCATAGAGCACCTGCTGTGCCACTGTCCGGCACTGGAATACCGACGTTTTAAAACTTTAGGGCAAGGTTTTTTGGAGGGACTAGAGGAAGCAGCAGAAGCCAACATCAGCGACATCGGGAACTTTGCAAAGAGCTGGAAGTGCTTTAACGCAAAGAAAGAATGAGAGGAAGGTTTGGTAAAACAATACAGGGGTATCGCAATGGGCCCAAGGCCTCCGAGTGAGGGATCAAATATGATCCCAAACCCCAGCAACCTAACCTAACCTAACCTAAGTATCATTTCTGCTTTCAGGGTCAATACTCGAAAAGCATTTAAATATCGACCTTCCTTAACTTATACACACGCGCCGCGCTGCGCGCTGGTTAGACTTTGAACACAACTTTTTCTTTTCACTCGCCGAATCTGAACCGCTAATATTACCCGCTGCACGAAATCAGGCAAAAATAATTTAATATTTTTTTTCTCGCCAAATTTAATAATGTTTTTCCCGATTAAACACTTTTATTAGTTGTCCAAGTTCCGACCGAATATTTTCATTTACTCTTAAAAAATCTACTACGTTAAGTTTGGTTTGGTTTAGTCCCGAATTGAATATTCACTTATTAAGTTAAAAAAAATAAAAATAAAAACCGGTCAACATTTGGGCATTACGACGAGCTGCAACTGATATTGGCCCAAAGGCTACCTTTTTGAACTTCTGGACCCGTATTTATATGCAAAATCTTGCCACTACTTTTAGGATGGCTACGTGCGTTTTAATTGGAGCATTTTTTCTAATATGGAATTTTGTTTACTGACCTCGAAATGAGGCCAACGTTCGACGGTTCCTGGGATTTTTTCTCTCAGCTTGTGAAGAATTTTTACTTACTAGACTTTGTAGATTATAAAGAAAGCTTGACCTTGGATGTAAATAATTATTTTTAATTATTTATACCTCTTTGCAAAAATATCGGTTCACCACAGTAGATTTCTACCTGAAGGAAGCTGGGGTAGGTGCCTATTGGTTCTTAGTATTTAGTATTCGGCCCAAATACTCCTATCCCTGTTCCTACTTTGGTTTTGGAAGCATCAGTATACCACTTTATGGTATGGTCTTTTAATTGC